TTTGTGGCTAGTACCAAGTCACCACAAATACCCTTACAGATAAATATGGGGGCACCTATGGAAGACGTTCTAGGATATACACCTGGGAGTAAACCTGATAGGCTGAGGGTATGCAAATTGTCACTCTTATTAGAAAATGCCAAACTGTTTTCAAAGTGGATACACCGACTAACAGTGGTGGTGAGCGCTCTCCAGTCTTTTTTTCTAGCCTCACCACAGAGCTTAACAGACCTTAGTTCCCCAACTAGGGATTGAACCAATATCCTCGGCAGTGTAAGTCCAAAGTCCTAACCACTGGATAGCCAGGAAGTCCCCTAGTCTTTTCTTCTTGCACTTATACACATAGCAGTTTGTTTTTTTTCTTTACTGGACTCATACTGTATACTGCATTAAATATTTTTGTAATCTCAAAAATGACAGAAGGATCTCTGTTCATTTCCAAGCAAACCATTCAGTATCATAGTTATCCAAGTCTATGCCCCAACCACTAATGCTGAAGAAGCTGAAATTGAACAGTTTTATGATGATCTACAAAACATTCTAGAACTAACACCAAAAAAAGATGTCCTTTTCATCATAGGGGACTGAAATGTAAAAGAAGGAAGTCAAGAGATACCTGGAGTAATAGCCAAGTTTGGCTTTGGAGTACAAAATGAAGCAGGGCAAAGGCTAACAGAGTTTTGCCAAGAGAATGAACTGATCATAGCAAACATCCTTTTCCAACAACACAAGAGACAACTCTACACATGGACATCACCAGATGGTCAATACCGAAATCAGACTGATTATATTCTTTGCAGTCGAAGATGGAGGAGCTCTATACAGTCAGCAAAAACAAGACTGGGAGCTGACTGTGGCTCAGATCATGAACTCCTTATTGCCAAATTCAGACTGAAATTGAAGAAAGTATGGAAGACCACTAGACCATTCAGGTATGATCTAAACCAAATCCCTTATGATTATACAGTGGAAGTGAGAAATAGATTCAAGGGATCTGATAGAGTGCCTGAAGAACTATGGACAGAGGTTCGTGACCTTGTACAGGAGGCAGTGATCAAGACCAGCACCAAGAAAAAGAAAAGCAAAAAGGCAAAATGATTGTCTGAGGAGGCCTTACAAATAGCTGAGAAAAGAAGAGAAGCGAAAGGCAAAGGAGAAAAGGAAAGACTGACCCATCTGAATTGCAGAGTTCCAACGAATAGCAAGGAGAGATAAGAAAGCCTTCCTCAGTGATCAATGCACAGAAAGAGAGGAAGACAGTAAAATGGGAAAGACTAGAGATAGCCTCAAGAAAATTAGAGATACCAAGGGAACATTTCATGCAAAGACGGGCACAATAAATGACAAACTGTAGGGACCTAACAGATGCAGAAGATATTAAGAAGAGGTGGCAAGAATACACAGAAGAACTATAAAAAAAAGATCTTTATGACCCAGATAACCATGATAGTGTGATCAGTCACCTAGAGTCAGACATCCTGGAATGTGAAGTCAAGTGGGCCTTAGGAAGCATCACTACAAACAAAGCTAGTGGGGGTGATGGAATTCCAGCTGAGCTATTTCAAATCCTAAAAGATAACACTCTGCAAGTGCTGTACTCCATATGCCAGCAAATTTGGAAAACTCAGCAATGGCCACAGGACTGGAAAAGGTCAGTTTTCATTCCAATCCCAAAGAAAGGCAATGTCAAAGAATGTTCAAACTACCATACAATTGCACTCATCTCACACATTAGCAAAGTTATGCTGAAAATTCTCCAAGCGAGGAGTCAGCAGTACGTGAACCGAGAACTTCCAGATGTTCAAGCTGGTTTTAGAAAAGGCAGAGGAACCAGAGATCAAATTGCCAACATCCACTGGATCACTGAAAAAGCAAGAGAGTTCCAGAAAAGCATCTACTTCTGCTTTATTGACTTCACCAAAGCCTTTGACTGTGCGGATCACAACAAACTATAGAAAATTCTGAAAGAGATGGGAATAACAGACCACCTGACCTGCCTCCTGAGAAATCTGTGTGCAATTCAAGAAGCAACAGTTAGAACTGGACATGAAACAATGGACTGGTTCCAAATTGGAAAAGGAGGATGTCAAGGCTGTATACTGTCACCCTGTTTATTTAACTTATATGTAGAGTACATCATACAAAATGCCGGGCTGGATGAAGCACAAGCTGGAATCAAGACTGCAGAGAGAAATACCAATAATCTCAGATATGCAGAAGACACCATCCTTATGGCAGAAAGTGAAGAGGAACTGAAGAGCCTCTTGATGGAAGTGAATGAGAAGAGTGAAAAAGCTGGCTTAAAACTCAACATTCAAAAAACTGATATCATGGCATCTGGTCCCATCACTTCATGGCAAACAGATGGGGAAACAATGGAAACAATGATAGATTATTTTGGAGGGGGCTCCAAAAATCATTGCAGATGGTGAGTGCAGCCATGAAATTAAAAGACGCTTGCTCCTTGGAAGAAAAGCTATGACAAACCTAGACAGCATATTAAAAAGCAGAGATACTACTTTGCCGACAAAGATCCATATGGTCCAACTTATGGTTTTTTCAGTAGTCATGTATGGATGTGAGCGTTGGATCATAAAGAAAGTTGAGCACCTAAGAACTGATGCTTTTGAACTGTGGGGTTGGAGAAGACTCTTGAGACTCCTTGGACTCCAAGGAGATCAGTCAATCCTAAAGGAAATCAGTCCTGAATATTCTTTGGAAGGACTGATGCTAAAGCTGAAGCTTCAATACTTTGGCCACCTGATTCAAAGAACTGACTCATTGGAAAAGATCCTGATGCTGGGAAAGACGGAAGGCAAGAGGAGAAGGGGATGACAGAGGATGAGTTGGTTGGATGGCATCACCAACTCAATGGACATGAGTTTGAGCAAGCTCTAGGAGGTGGTGATGGACAGGGAAGCCTGGCGAGTTGCAGTCCATGGGGTCACAAAGAGTCAAGACAGAACTGAGAGACTGAACTGAACTGAATGTTTTAATGGGTGTATAGCATTTAGATCTACAGATATACCAAAAAAAGTCTAATCAAATTCATTTTTCTTTCTGATGCTTTGCTTTTATAAACAATGCTGGGATGCATATTCATAGAGTTATGCTCGTGATTATTTTATTAGCACACTTACATAGCAGAATTCCTGATCTAAAAGGTATACACATTTTTAAGGCCTTTGATCTTATGTCAACTAGTCCTTCAGGAATTCAAACTGCACAATTTAAACTGCTTTCCTCCACCTTGCCAAGTATTAGATAAAAACTTGGAACATATGGATGTATATACAGTCAATTTGATAGGTTATAAAAAATAAACTAGGTTACTTTCATTTGCAGCTCTTTGAGAATTACTGAGGTTAAACATTTCTTTATACGTTTTAGATTATTTGAATGCCTTCAGGTTATTTACTTAATTTTCTGTGGGTGTTCATTTTTTTCTTACTGATTCATAAGAACTTTTATAAAATGAGGATATTAACCATCATCTATCATATATGCTGCTATTTCTTCCAGCTTATCATTTATATATAATTTCTTTCATTTCAAACTCTTCTCTTCCTTATCCCTAAGATTAATTAATACTCACTCATAGGTTAGCTTAGCAGGTTTCACATTTTAAATCTGAAGTTTAAACAGAATTATTCTTTTTTTCAAAAATTATATGAGTATCAGGGACTTCCCTGGTGGTCCAATGGTTAAGATGCCATGCTTCCACTGCAGGGAGCCTGGGTTCAATCCCTGGTCGGGGATCTAAGATCTCACATGTCAGGTGGTGCAGCCAAAAAATTATATGAGTATCATTAATATTTATAATCCTATGAAACTTACAGCGTTTATTTGTATTCCTTTTACAAACAGTCTGTGGAAATTTGACAACAATCCTAATTCTCTGTGGGATAAAAACTTGACGTATTGATTCAGTCAAATACACTGATTATACGAACAAATTCTCTTTTCTTATTAATTTTCCCATCAAAGCCTAAATGAGAGGTATGACGTTTTCTCAGTACTCATGCGGTTTTGCCATTACATGTCTACCAGCTTCTTCTTTATATATATCGGTGCTATGTTACTGGACACACTAGGGTACCTGACTACTATAGGTTCACTATGGAACCCACCTGTTACCCACATGAATCATTTAGTCCTATTTATTATCTTCTGATTTAACTTCTTCTAACAGTGATGCAGTCATCTTTTTTCTAATGTGCATTTACATGAGATCCCTTTTAGCAACCCTCAGTTTATAATCTTTCGATGTGATTTTATTTTCAGTGTGGTGCCTTCTCTTGAGCTGCTGAATCCTTTATACACCAAGTGATTCTTTTTTTCTATCTGTTCAGCCTTAAAGAGGGAGGCCTATCGTGCCCAGTTTAGAGATAAGATGATTTTTGATCGGAGAGTACATGGCCCCTGTTCAAATCGGTCAGGCCAAGATAATGAGGAAAAGGAAACTGTTCATGTGTCATATTTTTACCTTGTCAGCTTATAGACCCAGGAGACTTGGGGAGTTGGGAGCTTGCTGCAGTCAGAGGCAACTGGACAGGAAATGCAAACCTCTGTGCTGGAGAGTTTATTTTTGTTCTGACAAGAACTGTTCTTACAAGGGTCCACTCTTACTCTGCGCGCGGCCCACAGAGAGTAGGAGCAGAGAGCGCACCTAGCGAGCCCCCCGCCCCGTGAGCTCCCGTCTGTCATCAGTGAGTGCCTATGAGCCCAGGCCCACCTGCCACCACTTCCCCGCTGAGGGCACTTGGGGGATTCACCCCGGGACACGCTGCACACAGTGAGCCTCCCCTTATCCCTTCCGTCCTGCAGAAGTCCCTCCGTAGGTACAACAAGAGAACCCCAGTCTCTCCCAGCCACTCCTGTGCACTCGGACACCTATTTCAGTGGGCGTGTGGAGGACGTGTGTGTGATGCGGGTGAGGCTGCAAGGAGCCTGTGATCACATCCCAGTCCTCTGCTCCCTGTCCCGCACGTCTCTCTCACCTTGCTCAGGAGGAAACGGCAGCTTCCCGGCATGCAAGGCCAGCTCTAAGGCTGAGTCCTCCTGAGTCACGAAGGGCTCCAGGTTCAGGGGGAGGGACATGATATATTGCCCGATCTGAAACAAAAGAGAGCACTGTCAGCCCGGCACTGACGCATGCACGTAAGGATTGCATGCAGTACGTTCATGCGAAGGCAAACGGTGGGCAGACAAAACTGTGAGACCTGCTGGCAGCCCCAGGCCTGATCTGTCCAGAGTGTGGTAATGCGGGTTAGGCAACGCCTGAAAAATAAAAGCACTGCCGGTTTGCATGTAGATCATAGATTCATCCTTCTCACTAATGGCCTCAATATTTCTGGAATGCACTCAATGTGAGCTCTACCTCAAATGAGTAATGGATTACCAGAGTGCTTTGTAAAATTTAAAGCGCTTGTGTAAATATGTTATTATTACTGTTCATGGATGAAAAACCGGTAAGATGCTAATGTCAACAAGTGCATGGTCAAGCAAGCATTTCAATTGTGTCTTTTGTATCTGGATCTGGGTCTCTTCCTTCCAGGTTACTGAATCAGGTGAAGGAAGGAGTTTTGTTGGGGGGAAAAAAAGCAGTTTATAAGATAATCTGGAGGGAAAATTGTATGTTTTCAAAACACAAACTCTAGAAAATAAACCTTGGTTGGTGAGGAATCGAAAAGGTAGGGTTACAAGACATTAGAGATGAGCCATAAAATAACTCAGGGTTAGTCATGTGTATGTCATCATGCATATATTTTAGACACCTATTTCTATTACAACTCACAATTGTTTAGTACAAAGTAAAGGTAAGCATAAGAGAAGGATATGTTTTGTTCCAAAATGAGATTGATTTTCAGGTTATGATGATGTAATATATATTTTCTTACAAAGGTACTGGAGCCTGTTGCTTTTTTTGGCTTCATATTGATTCTATACATTCATTCCCACTTAAGAGTTGATACTGATTCTGCAAGCTAACGTCCCAGGACTATCCGAGAAAGATCTTCTCAATCTGGCCTTACATATACCCAGATGGTGGCAGGCATCCAGAAGTTAAGGCAGACTCCCAAAAGCTACCAGCCCAGATTAACGCCTTCATTTCCAAACATTTAATGCAGCCCACTGTGCTAATAAAAAATTGTTAGTTTGGTCTCCTTTTAAAGAGGTACATACACAGATGGTAAAATAAATGAAATTAGCACCTTTTCTTTTCCTTAGCACAATCTTTTATTCAAACTAGACAAGTGGTCGTGTACCTTGCTAATAACCACAACCACTGTACATTGCAGCTTGAAATGGCAACAAAATCATCATTTTCCCCCAAGGCTAGAGGAAGAGAAGGATGCTGACTTTTGGGGTTAGAATTTCTCCATTTTAGTTCCACTCAGCCAGTACTTCCTGAACACCTACTATGTGCAGAGATCACAGGCATATTCCTGTATTTGGTACCTCTTTAACCTGTAGCCAGTTTTACTTGAAATAAAGAATCATCATCATTATGCCTTGCATCTATGCTGTTTTATTTTTTTCCATGGACATTTTCCTATTTCATCCCCTTATAATGCTCACACAGTTCTGTGTGGGTGAGGGCATGCACCAACAAGGCAAAGTGTCAGGTATAAATTTTCAATAATCTGACACCTCAAACTTCAATTAATGGGTCTTAGATTGTGGGGATCACTGTGATTCCTAGAGAGATTCCATGACACCAGGTTTCTCTCGGGAGTTCTATGTTTAATTTTTGGAAATCAATGTGGGAAAAGATGCTTATCATCAGACCTCTAGAGGTCTGTGTACTGTTCTCACATATTCAATAAATGCTCCTCAATATCCTGTCTAGGTGAGCGCAGTGACTCAGGAAACACGAAAAGCTCTGTGGTCAGAGGACCAGGGCTTGAGTTCTGGCTCTCCCAGTGTGTGACGTCAGGCACACAGCCCGACTTTGCCAGCCAGGGCCTTGGTTTCATCATCTCTGAAATGAGGGTGATCTCACACTGACTTCAAAGGGCTGTGGCAAGGATTAAATTAATCCCGTGTGAGACACACATCCAGCATCCTGGCATCCTGAGAGAGCAGCCGCCGGATAAATGGCTTCCCCGCCCCACTCCCATACCCCAGAGCCCCGGTGCTGCCGATGTGAAAACACGGCTGCCGCCAACTGGCTCACGAAGTTGTTGTGAAGACAGACCTCGGTCTGGGCTTCCCCGGTGGTCAAGAATCCGCCTGCCGATGCAGGGGAACACGGGTTTGATCCCTGGTCTGGGAAGATCCCACAAGCCTCAGGGCCAACTAAACTTGTGCGCCTCAACTACTGAAGCCTTCGCGCTCTAGAGCCTGTGCTCCACCACAAGAGAAGCCACTGGGCCTAGAGAAAGCCCAAGCGTAGCAACGAAGATCCAGCAGGACCAAAAATGGTAAATAAATAATCTTTAAGAAGCCAATCTGAAAACCTTTCAAGTCCCTTCTAAGCCACATCATTTCTGGAATCAATCTACACTGCAACACACGAGTCTGGAGAAGGAAATGGCAACCCACTCCAGTGTTCTTGCCTGGAGAATCCCATGGACAGAGGACCCTGGCAGGCTACCGTCCACGGGGTCGCAAGAGTCGGACATGACTTGGCGACTAAGCCACCACCACCATACAAGTCTCCATCCTAAAAATGAGAGTCTTACCATTGGTTTAAAGACCAACTCACATTTTTAGCTCCCTCAGTCCAGGATATTGGATAATGCCCTGAAAGACAGGAAAACAACTGCCTTGTGGACCTGACGCTACTCAATGAATAGAGTGAGGAAGGCCATTCTCTTTGCTACTCACCAGTGGGACCACACAGGCTTCCTCTAACTGTATAGCGTTTACTTGTAAAATTCTTTTCCATCTTTTCAGTAGTCATGACTTACAATGGGTCTTAAAGTGAACGCTCATGGCAGAGATCACGCATCTCAAAATCACCCCTGAAAAATCACAGAACTCTCCCACAGTAAGGGGAAGACATGATTGGGATCTGCTGCTCCTGGATGGTATTTCTTAGGTTCACCGACATTTAAAAACAACAGCGCTGGACTGTAGGAAGGGCAATGAAAGGAGAGGCCACATGCAGATGTCTGGGAGACAATCAACTCCCAAGGGTGAAAGGTGAAGGGGCAAAGGACTTGAAGTGCCCTGTTCCCCGGCAAGGCTCATTCTGTTCTTTATTAACATCAAGCCTGTATAAACAACTAAAATTCTTGTTAAGAGATTTACTTGAAAGTGAAAGTATCAGTCACTCAGTTGTTTCCAACTTTGCAACCCCATGGACAGGCTCCTGTGTCCATGGAATTCTCCAAGCAAGAATCCTGGAGTGGGTAGCGATTCCGTCCTCCAGGCGACCTTCCCAACCAAGTCTCCCACACTGCAGGGAGATTCTTCACCATCTGAGCCACCAGGGAAGACATGTACCTGCTGCTATGAAATTAAACATGAGCACACAGACCTGGTATAAGGTAGGTGCTCACTACATGCTTTTTGGATTTGAACTCAGAACTACGATACACTGTTCTTCTGAAAAGTCATGAAGAATTTGACCACCTGCTTCCCATCTTCCCAAGTTCTGAATCTCTTACTGCAGTGGTCTCCCACATCTTTGGCACCAGGGACCAGTTTCATAGAAGGCAATTTTTCCATGGCTGGGGGTGTGGTTCGGGGATAATTCAAGCGCATTACATTTATTGTATATTTTTCTTCTATTATTATTACATTAGCTTTATCGACCTCAGATCATTAAGCATTAGATCCTAAAGGTTGGGGACCCTGTCCTACTGGACTTGCACTTTGAAGCCCTCAGGTATTGGCCACATCTCACATTGAGAGGCATGGGGCAGGGGCAGGAATGTGTTAGGCTCCAAAATCCACATGTGTTTCATCAGCTGACTTAAGGAAGTCAGCTGCATTTCCTTAAACCCCTGGCTATGGATGGAGACTGTCCCAAAGCACAGGTCCAGACAGCACCGGGGCAGCCAGGACCACTGCACCTGGAAGGGTCAGACGAGACGCGGTCTCAGATGCTGTGACCAGCAGAGAGAAAAGCGTGCAGAGGCTCTTACGTTGCTGATGTACTCGAGCGGGGTGAGACTGAAGGTGGGCAGGTCATCAGTCAGGGTTTCTCCAATGCCCGCAGTGTTCCAGCTCTAGGGAAGGAAGGAGAGGAAGCAGTCAGGGTCACAGCACCTAGGCAGCACGGGAAAGCACATGAAGAACGCGGCACCCACCGCAGGAGCCGTCTCTGCTCAGAGCCGGCTTCTGGCGTCATCGCCACATGGCAGAACAGGGGTTTCTCTTCCTCCAGTCATCACCGGGAAGCCCGCCACAGAGGAAGCAATCCTTTCTCTCTCTCTGCATCCTTTCTGATCCATAAAAATCCATAAAGCAGGAAGTCCCACCTTCCCGACTCAACTATTCAATGGGAACCGACACTCTGTTCACCTTTCTCGGAAGGCGAGAGAAAGAGCTGGTTGTTCTTGTTCTGGGTTTCTCTGCCGGGCACAGGTAGCCTTATTAACTCTGGGGTCATCAGCCTGCACTCTGTAGAGACCAGGACTCCCCTAAAGCCCTCCCCAGAGACCATACCTGAGTTGGAAGCCCTGTCTGGTTACAGGAATATCCAAACCATGTTCACCAACTGCTGCCACTAAGGTAAAGCTGCTGCTTTTGATCTACCTGCTTCCTGGATCTAAGTCTCAGCTGACTCAGAACTCAGTGGGAAAGGGATGAGGCGGCTTCAGACCCCACGGGCAGCCTCTCTGTCCTCTCCTGACCCCCTGTCTGGAGACCGGCAGCACTGACATGTCTCCTTTTGTCATTTAGCGGAACCATGATATCACTGTGGAGCCTTCCCGGGCCCCTCTATAGAGTTAGGCCAGTTACCAGCACACACGTGGTTAGAGAGGTCAGCCCGGCGCACCTTCACACAGAAGTCTAGCTTCTTAATTCTTACCCAAGTCACCCTAGAGCCAGCCTGGAAAGCAAGGCCCTTGCTGGCTGGACTCCTGGAGGGACTTCTGAGGTCACATGGTAGCTGCTCTCTGCAGCCACCTGAGACCGATCTGGTTGCTTGATCCTCTAAGTAGCTTTCCGGGAATGGCGTGACCATGTCCGCCCCTGGGCTCCCGGCCCAGGCCAAGGGGCAGCCCTCCTCCCCACGCTCTCAAGCACCAACTCGACTCTTTATTTGCCTGCTCTAGACAAAGTCTTTTCTTCCCCAGCCCTGCCCCTATAGTTTTTTAAACTCCCTGTTCTTTTCTGAGAATCCTTTCATTTCAAACTATACTACTTTTTTTCAGTTAACTCCCACCCCACAGGGAGGGACGCACAGGTCAGGCACGCGCACTGAATGCCTACAATGTGCCAGGCTTTGTAGGGAGAGACAAAGAAATGGCTCATCTTGGTTCTTGCTCTCCTTGTGGGAACCGAGACCCCCGACACATTCCCACCCTAGACCCCCTACACACACACACACACACAGGTTTCCACTTCAGGAGTTCTCAGCGGTGGATGTCAATTTTATACAATAAGAGTTCAGAGCAACAAGAGCCCAAGGTGGTTAGAGAAGGGGCTGGCCAGAGGATGCATGAGGTGCAGAGAGGAAAGGCTGGAAAGAGAGTGCACAGTATGAACACCAGGCTAAGAAAAGGGGAAACGAGAGAGAGAGAAGAGAAAGGGGCAGGGAAGGAGGAAGGGAGGGAGAGAGAGAGATGGGAAGGTAACCTGTTATGTCTCAAAAGAGATGTAAAAGACATACCCACCAACGTGCAGAGCTAGTCTGGATCCTGGTTCAAATCATGACATTTATAAGACAATCAGAAATTTGAACATTAATTGATGACATTAGGGAATAATTTTAATGTTATTTTTAGGGGTGATTATGGTATTGTGATTATGTTGAGAGCTCTATTTACTTATTTTTGGCTGTGCTGGGTCCTTGCTACTTTGCTTTCTCCAGTTGTGGCAAGCAGGGGCTACTCTGTGCTGTGGAGTGCAGGCTTCTCACTGCGGTAGTTTCTCTTGCTGTGGTGCACAGGCTTCATCCCTCTGTGGCATGTGGGATCTTCCCGGACCAGGGATCAAACCCGTGTCCCCTGCACTGTGCCCCCCAGGTAAGTCCCTAGAGCTCTTATTTTAGATAAGGGGGTATATAGGACACAGGACAGCCAAGAACTGAGCAGTGTCAAAACAGGGTGATGAAGACACACAGTTTATTACACTCTTCCCTCTACTCTTGCATATATGTAGGAAATTTTCCCATAATAAAAAGTTTTTAAAAATAGACTATCACATTGACTGTGTGGAGCCAGGGAAGGGATCTGAATGTGCTGAGACAAAATCAGAGCAACGCTTTATGAAGATTGATGCAGCAATTCTCAGAAGGACTGTGGGTGGAGAGGCTCAAGAAACAATTCAGAGATGACAAGAACCCAAACCAGGGCAGTGGCTATGGAAACAGATGGAGACGGATTTTAAAAAGGAGCAACCATGCAACCTGGTGGTAGAGTCTTGGCAAAGAGGGGCTCAGCGAGGGAGCAGAGGTGGTGAAGGCCAGGGCGGGCAGAGAGAGGGGAGGCCAGGAGCCGGGGCTGAGTCACGGGGAGAGGGCACAGCATCTAAAGGACAGGCACCGTGGGCTGCGGGCCCCGGCATGGCTTCGCAGAGGAGGCGGGGGGTGGGGGGTGGGGGGGAGCTAAGATGAGGGTGGAGGGAAGAAGAGCCAGAGTGGAAAAGTACTTGGGAATAAGGGCGAGACCGGGTGGACTGATGGGGGAGGGCCTGAAAGGTGGGCAGAGGGGGTGGACCTGAAGAGGTCAATAAGGAAATGGTGTGGATTATTTTTCAACTCAAAATTTCCTTCAAAGGGGCTTTTCTAACCGTCTTTCACCAGGTAACTTAGGTAAACTTCACCAGCCTATCTTGAAAGGGAATATGGTGTTGGTTTATACTCTTGTAACGGACAAGGGCAACACAATTTACCAGCAAACATTAAAAACAAACATTTAAAGACCAGGGTTTAGTTTTCAAATCCTTAAGGCCAAAAGTGTTTGTCTTTGCATTGTGCGCTTTCATGCAGATCACTGGGAGAATTCCCCTTAATCTCCAGAGCTGCCTGCATCCGTTCCCAGCGCCCGAGCCCTCGCGGTGAGGCCTGAAAGAGAAGGTGAGATCACGTAGCCAAGGACGGGGCAGAACAATGAGCGTGGAGCACAGGAGTAGAGGGGAAGGGACGGTGCAGGCACCAAGCCCGGCTCCATGAAGAAGACTGAACAACTGGCAGAACTGAGGCTCCAGAACAGGAGCCCAAGATTTTTAATCTCTGACAAAATAAAAACGATAAGAACAACCAAACCTGGGAGGCTGGGGAAGGGAGATGAGAGACGGAGGGAATGCTAATCCCATCGGCTTTCAGGGCAGGTGAATCAATGCTAGTATCTACCTAAAATGGAAACGTGACTAACAGAAACAGTGGCTCCATCTCTCAGTAGTTTTTATCATCTTTCTTTCTTGATCTTGTGGAGATCTTCTGGGAACTGATATCTTTCATGGTGAAGAAACTATTGCCTCAAGATCAACCATTCCTTTGGTTCATTTATCTTTGTTTTCCAAAGTCAAATAAAATCTATTGCACACATTTTATTTTTTAAAAAATCAGCAAGAGTAGTACAATTCCATTTCTTCCTATGGACCATCTATCTACCAATGCCCACCCAGCCCTCAGCATGTGAATGGACAGGAAGATATGTCTGGCTTGATGATTTCTGGATGGAGGGACCTTGGAGGGGTTACTGCTTTTATTCTTTGTACTTTCCTGTATTGTTCAAATTTCTGAAAATGAGTAATTTTTAATGTTTAAAAACTATCACTACTCTTAAAAACTGATAGTCACAGAAAAAAAAAGAAAACCACTACTTATTCAGCAACTATGCTGTGATGGGACTGTGTTAAATTCTATTATATATGAAATCTCACTTAATCTTCACATATTAATATGATGAGCATCACTGTATCCCCATTTTAAGGATAAGGAAATGCTCTACCAGCCTCAGCCATGTGATCCAGCAAGACCACAGATGGCTGTCTGGGTATAGCTATGGTGACATTGCCTTCGCTAGGATGTGACAGCAAAGGCCACCACTCCACCACCCGACACGCAACATTGCCCCACCCATGGTAGCAATGTAAGATCTGCTTAGAGAAGGTCTCGTGGCATTTTGCACAAGACTTGACCAAATCATACAGTAAATGAGTGAGTGGCCCTTGGCTCCCAATCTAGTATATTTTTTAGGGCACAGCAGAAAGCAAAGGATCTATTGGTGAGCAAAAGCCCATAACTGGGTCTTTCCCAAAAGACTATCTTTCTCTCTTTCATTCATTATTTGTTTTGGCTGTGCAAGGTCTGAGGTGCCGCATGTGGGATCTAATTCCCTGACCAGGGATCAAACCCGGGCCCCTTGCATTGGGAGTGAGGAGTCTTAGCTACTTGACCATCAGGGAAGTCCCCCCCAAAATTATCTTTTAAAATATCCTAAACACCAAAAAGAGAACAAAGAAGAAGAAAGATTAAAAAAAAAAAAGCCAAATCCAAATAGACTTGAGGAGTCTGTAAGAAAAATTAATCAGGGGACTGTCTCAGAAATCTGAAAGGAAACCTGAGTTCTGGACACAGAGAAAGTCAAGAACCAGTAGAGAAAATAGAGGACTGAGGGGCAATTCCTTGAAAAGCAATAAGGACAAGCGGAGAAGAAGGAGCAAGGCATTCCAAGAATAACCAAACAGCAAGAGTATCAAAGACAGAAAATAGCATTACCCTTCAAACCCCCCTCAAGAACACCAGACCACACCCGGTAAGGCACTCTCCTGGGTAAGGTTCCAGAACCAAGTCTCCACAAACATCTGGCCTGAGAACAACTCAACCTCATCAGACAGCGAGCTCCTCTGACCAGCCCCAGCCTATCCAATGGCACATAAGCTCCCTTGCTTCTCCCTGAGAGGCCACAGGGAAGCTTCTCCAAACGGTGAAAGTTAATCAAGCAAGAGGAATAATCCCAAGAAACAGTCCGAAACCACAGCATCGCAGTGACTACAATTAGATGAGACAGCCCCTTGGCAGGGGTTAGTGATGATCTCTTATGTAACCCTTAAGAAGAATAAATTGTTTGGGAACAGAAAAAAAAAAAAAAATATATATATATATATATAAGACAGTCATGCTAAACAGTGAGTTATAAGGGAACAGGGACACTGCAGAGGGTCTTCCAGCCCAGGAGTGTCAAAGCGGGCCCCTCCTAAGGCTCAGAAAAAGGGTGACAGGTCCAGCACAGGGGTTGAGGGGTGCGCGGGCCGCTGGTGGGAAACTCACGTCCATCTTGGGAATGAGGAGCAGCTGCTGCTTGATGCGCAGGAAGACCGAATCGAAAGCCAGCTGGTGCGCCTGCTGGTTAAGCCGAGTCAGAGCCGATCGTGACGCGGACAGCAGGTGGTGGTTACTCGACCCTTTCTCCTAAGACAAGAAAATGCAGAAGGCAGGTTGTTAGGCCCTGAATGCACCCGAGGGATGAGCTAAACGTTTTGAAAAGCCACTAAAAGGAAAATGGCGAGGGGGTTCTCGACAGTGATGGTTTCCGATCCTGGCTGTGCTCAGGACCCCCTGGGGACATGCTGAGTCACAGACACCCAGGATCTGCTTGAACCACCAAGTCTGGATATTGTTCATTCACTTTCCCAGGTGATTCTGATGCACTTTAGCTAATATCAGCTCATGGAGTGACAGTTTAGGAAAAATAAACCTCTCACTGTCCCTCAGGGGTACAGAAGAAAGGGAAAAAATGATGAGACGTGTCAAGTAGAAACAAGAGTGACGGACAGAGCCCTGATTCCCAGGGAGGTCAAGTCAATTATTCTCAGCTGTACACCAGAGCATGCACCCCTCCCCGTGTGAGTCCCAAGGTATTCCAAACAGCCTGAGAAAATACAGAGGTGGAAAATGTAACCTTCGTTTTGCTATTATTAGTGAACCAATTACGACAAACAGACATAAATCAGATCAGCAATAAAGATAAACAGAGTTGCTTTAACCTAATCACAGAGCATGGATGAGTGAACTTGCAGAATGGCTTCGAGAAGTGTTTGTCAAGCTCAAATGCAGCCAGTTGGTGGGTCAAGGTGCAGAGGGGTGGGGGAGACCCTGCGAGGGCAACGCTGAAGCCTCAGACACATCCTGAGGGGCACTGTACGCTCACCTCCAGAGCGCAAGGCCCAAACAGATAATTTCAGATTGAATTTGGTGCTCTGGGAACAGGACTATCTCCTCTACTTATCACGAAGAGAGTGAGATTCAAATCAAACTGGGGGTGGGGGGAGGAAGTTTCTGGAAAGGATGCCATAGACCGCTAAGAACCTCGGGTCATTCTCGGGGAGCCTATGGCTCATTCCACTTGTCAGGAAGTTGCTCTGCCCCTGGACCCCAAGGGGGCCCACAGCTCAAAGTCAAGGGCAGTTTTATGGCAGACAAACAAATCTAACAGTGATTCCCACGTCCTTGTGCTTCCACATGGAGAAGCTTGCCCTGGGGGAGGGGGTGCTCGTGCCTGGCCTCTCTACCCTTGCTCCTCCCCTGGCTGATGGGCTGGGGGCCACCTTCCCACGTTCTGTCCCTGTGTGGGGGTCCAGGGCCATCCAGCTCAGCCCATCCTGCTGACAAGTTAACTCTGGGGAAGAATGGCAAGCTCATTTGGCTACAGATCCAGAGCCGCATTTCCAACCTACCTTTCAGTAATAAAGCTCCATTAATCTGACTCCTACAAGTGTGTTTCAGTTGGTTCGACCCCAGTTTAGTCGCTCGCCTTCTTAAAACCCCAACATAACTGAGACAGAGACGTGGGAGCAGGCTTTGCCACAGCCCAGGTCCCACACACAGGGGGCAGAGCAGCCGGGCTAGGCAGAGGGTGAGTGACAAGGCAAAAGCTTTCAAGAGCGCAAGAATGCCATCAGTCTGGTCTCATACCTTGAGGGTATAAAGTATTTCCATTAAACTGCCATATTCGGCAGGGCTATCTTTCTGGAGGTAATTATATTCTTGCCATGGGTTCTTGGCAGAGCTCTTCTTGTCTGTCAAGATGCTATCTTGAAAACCGGTCAGGCTCCGAGGGCTGAAGGAGTCACAGAGATACTTCCCAGCTGTGGACAAAATCCTGTAATAAAAGTGATGGCCATTATGCCCTGAGCCACGTGCATGGAACTTCCTTCCTGGAGCATTCACACTCCTCACTGAATCCCGGGACGTCCTCATGAGGCACACAGATGCCATTCATCCTTCGGGAGGGAGCTGGATGTCAGGTGCACAATGAACACCAGACGTTTTCATTTCCTGTTTTAACACGCTCTAACAGAATATGCCATCATCCTAATATGACGCCCAGCCTCAGGGCAGCTGTCAGTTCATTGCAATCTGGAATATCGTGCGCTTTCTACATATGAGCTCTGTGAGCATCTCTTTGGAATGGTCAGAGCCAAGGGAGACACCAGTCCAATGGTCACAGAGGCACGAGATGTGGAGGCGGGACAGCTTGTCCCTGGGGCCCCCTGCACACCTCTACACACGGGACTCACACTCTCGCACACACCTGTGCAGCGCTCGTGCTCATCAGCACCATAGAGCTTACTTCTGCAGTTTACAGAGACATACTGAGGGAAGTCGGCGCCTTCCTGAGAAGGAACAAAGCCTGCGGGGAGGTTCTATGGGATGCTCAACCTCTAGCATGGCTTGGGGAGTCGACGCTCTGTCTCTAACGAAGATGACCTCCCTTGATGGAGGCTGAAAACCTTCGCTCCGTTCTTCCTGAGCCCAACTTTACCACTCAGCTCACACATTTAAACGTGTACAGGATTATACAAACCTGTGTAACTAGGACACTAAACACTGTTGTACATCTCAACCGTGCCTAATTCCCCAACCCATTCTTCACTCTGATTTATTATGAAAAACATCACTTTGGACACGGCAGCTTTCAGGCACTTCTTCAAAAGCAAATCCCATGACATCATCAAGAAATGCTTGGATCTGCAAACAAATGCTGGGGACAGGATCCTCCTCAGGGACCAGAGCTGACACAGCAGCTACCTGCCTCTGCCATTAAGGTCAAGTCACAGTTTTCCCTGTCTCTAATGCCCACAGGTCATTCTGGGCGGGTCTCTTTTCTGTGGAACCGGGGCCTGTCCCTGCCGCTGCCTTACTTTCAAGTCTTCACTGTTTCTTGCCTGGATCACAGTGGCTGTCCCTTTATTGCTTCATTTAATCTGTCCTCTGGGGGTTACTGGAATGATCTTTTTAAAATGAAAATCTGATTTTATCTTTTTTCCAAAGATCTGCCAGCGCCCCACTAGATAAAACTAAACATGCCTGGCATGGCACCCAGGGCCCGCCATCACTGGACCCCTTGTATGCTTATAAACATTCCCATTACCATGCCAACCACCCCCAGCTCAGCCCACACACCATGCTTCAGGCCCTTATATGTCTTGCTCGCATGCTGCTATGATCTGAAATGCTCTCCCCTCCCTGTTGCACTGAGAAAGATCCTACCCCTTCTAGAGGGACTGCCTTCCTGTGCCCAGTCCTACCCCTGAGGCCTCAGTCCTCTGACCTCACCAGCCTCTCACCTCTTATATATTTAGAATAGGCTGTCCCATTCCTCTCCATCAGATGGTGAGGCTGAAACACACCAAGTGTTCTTCATCTCTGAGTTCCCAGCACTTAGCAGAGTAGTTATATCTACTACGGTGGACAAAAATCCCTTAGAAGAAATAGAGTAGCCCTCACAGTCAACAACAGAGTCCGAAATGCAGTACTTGGGTGAGGTCTCAAAAACGACAGAATGATCTTTTTTTGTTTCCAAGGAAAGCCATTCAATATCACAGTAATCCAAGTCTACGCCCCAACCACTAATGCCGAAGAAGCTGAAGTTGAACAGTTCTAGGAAGACCTACAAAACCTTCTCAAACTACTATCAAAAAAAGATGTACTTTTCATCATAGGGGTCTGGAATGCAAAGGTAGGAAGTCAAGAGATACCTGGAGTAACAGCCAAGTTTGGTCTTGGAGTACAGAATGAAGAAGGGCAAGGCTAACAGTTTTGCCAAAAGAATGTGCTGGTCAAAGCAAACACCCTCCTCCAACAACACAAGAGACGACACTACACATGGGCATCACAAGCTGGTCAATACTGAAATTACACTGACTATATTCTTTGCAGCCGAAGATGGAGAAGCTCTATACAGTCAGCAAAAACAAGATCGGGAGCTGACTGTGGCTAAAACCATGAACTCCTTACTGCAAAATTCATACTTAAATTGAAGAAAGTAGGGAAAACCACTAGACCATTCAGGTATGCCCTAAATCAAATCCCTTATGATTATACAATGGAAGTGACAAATAGATTTCAAGAGATTAGACCTGACAGACAGAGTGCCTAAAGAACTATGGACAGAAGTTCATAACACTGTACAGGAGGCGATAATCAAAACCATCCCCAAGAAAAAAAAATACTAAAAGGCAAAACAGTTGTCTGAGGCAGTCTTACAAATAGCTGAGGAAAGAAGAGAAGCGAAAGGCAAAGGGGAAAAGGAAAGATACAGCCATCTGAATGCAGGGTTCCAAAGAATAACCAGGAGAGAAGAAAGCCTTCCTCAGTGATCAATGCAAAGAAATAGAGGAAAACAACAGAATGGGAAAAACTAGAGATCTTGTCAAGAAAATCAGAGATACAAAGGGAACATTTCATGCAAAGATGGGCACAATAAAGGACAGAAATGGTAGGAACCTAACAGAAGCAGAAGATACTAAGAAGATGTGGCAAGAATACACAGAACTATGCAAAAAAGATCTTCATGACCCAGATAACAATGATGGTGTGATCACTCACCAAGAGCCAGACATCCTGGAATGTGAAGTCAAGTGGGCCTTAGGAAGCATCACTACAAAGCTAGTGGAGGTGATGGAATTACAGCTGAGTTATTTCAAATCCTAAAAGATGACACTGTGCAAGTGTTGCATTCAATATACCAGCAAATTTGGAAACCTCAGCAGTGACCACAGAAATGGAAAAGGTCAGTTTTAAAGCCAGTCTCAAAGAAAGACAATGCCAAAGAATGTTTCAGCTACCATACAATTGCACTCATCTCACACACTAGCAAAGTAATGCTCAAAATTCTCCAAGGTAGGCTTTAACAGTACATGAACCGAGAACTTCCAGATGTTCAAGCTGGATATGGAAAAGGCAGAAGAACCAGAGATCAAATTACCAACATCTCCTGGATCATAGAAAAAGCAAGAGAATTTCAGAAAAACATCTACTTCTGCTTCATTGACTATGCTAAAGCCTTTGACTGTGAATCACAACAAACTGTGGAAAATTCTTAAAGAAATGGGAATACCAGACCACCTGACCTGCCTCCTACAAAACCTGTGTGCAGGTCAAGAAGCAACAGTTAGAACCAGACATGGAACAATGGACTGGTTCCAAATTGGGAAAGGAGTATGTTAAGGCTGTATATAGCCACCCTGCTTATCTAACTTATATGCAGAGTACATCACGTGAAATGCTGGGCTGGATGAAGCACAGCTGTAATCAAGATTGCAGGGAGAAATATCAATAACCTCAGATATGCAAATGACACCACCCTTAAGTCAGAGAGCAAAGTGAAACTTAAGAGCCTCTTGATGAAGGTGAAAAGAGGAGAGTGAAAAAGCTGGCTTAAAATTCAACATTCAAAAAACTAAGATCATGGCATCCTGTCCCATCACTTCATGGCAAATAGATGGGGAAACAATGGAAACAGTGATAGACTGTATTTTCTTGTGCTCCAAAATCATTGCAGATGGTGAATGCAGCCATGAAATTAAAAGATGCTTGCTTCTTGGAAGAAAAGCTATAAGAAACCAGGACAATGTGTTAAAAAGCAGAGACATCACTTGGCAAACAAAGGTCCATGTGGTTCAAGCTATGGTTTTCCCAGTAGTCATGTATGAATATGAGAGCTGGACCATAAAGAAGGCTGAGCGTCAAAGAACTGATGCTTTTGAACTATGATGTTGGAGAAGCCTCTTGAGAGTCCCGTGTGCTCCAAGGAGATCAAACCAGTCAATTCTAAAGAAAATCCTGAATATTCATTGGAAGGACTGATGCTGAAGCTGAAGCTCCAACACTTTGACCACCTGATGGGAAGAGTCAATTCATTAGAAAAGACCCTGATGCTGGGAAAGATGGAAGGCAGGAGGAGAAGGGGACAACAGAGGATGAGACGGTTGGATGGCATCACCTACTCCATGGACATGAGTTTAAACAAGCTCTGGGAGCTGGTGAGGGACAGGGAAGCCTGGCATGCTGCAGTCCACGGTGTCGCAAAGAGTCGGACATGACTGAGCGATGGAACAACAAAAGCACAGAGCTGGGCAGAGAACAGGTGTTGCATAATTATTCTGTGAGTGACAGGCGGCCTTGGACTTGGTGAGCAGGGAGTTGAGAGCTGAGCTTTCATCTCTTCCCTCCAGGAAGTCAACTCTCTTTCTTGGGGTTACTGTAATTCATGTCTCAGACTCAAAACAGCCAGCAAGTGGTATCAGTCTGCCTTCTAGTTGGAAGAAAAGCAGTTACATTGGGAATGTTTTGAATATTAAAAATTATAGTTAAAAATTTCTGAATAATGTACTCAACAACGAAAACCAAATCCAATATTTTTAATGTTGGAATAAACACAGCTCCAGCAATAAGGAACTAACGGCATTCTTCCCTAGCCTCCACTTCAACCAGTCACCATCATTAGACTCTGATGTCCTGTTATACGTATTTCCCAGTATTGTGAACTAAACGATGCAGAAATGAACACTTGATTTCCTCATTCATTAATAAACATTTTCAGACTTCCCTGGTGGTCCAGTGGTTAAGAATCTACCTGCCAGTGTAGGGGATGTGGGTTCAATCCCTGATCCAGGAAGATTCCACGTGCCAAGGGGTGGAAGCCTGCTGGCCACAACTATGGAGCCCGTGTGCCCTGGAGTCCATGCTCTGCAACAAGAGAAGCACCACATTCTCCACAACTGGAGAAAGACCCTGCACAGCAACAGAGACCCAGCGAAGCCAAAAACAAATACATTTTTTAAAAAAAGAAACATTTTCTCATTGTTGTGATGGGCTCTAAGCTAGGCTTTGGTGCTTTCAGATGATTAGTCACAACAGAACCTGCCCAGAAGCTCAGAGATTAACAGCAAAGCCCAATATGTGCCAATACTGTGCTATCTTCCATGCCAAGAGAAGGCAGTTAAGTCTACACACGGTAAGGAGGGAGGGACGAACATCCCAATTCCACCTACTTCCTCAACGCATCTCCTTTTCTTGAAAAGCTGCTGCCCATGCCTCAGTCAGGGAAATGTGTACATTTATTCTGGACTCTCCAAACCTCATCGTCCCACTGAACTGCCCTACTAAAGCCGTGTCCCAGTGAAAATGCCACTGTGCCAAAAATTGGTAGTGGGCACCATAAAAGCAAAGAGGAGCCACGGCAACCTCCCTGCGTGTCACCCGAGTTCAAGAGAAATCCCTCGGGTGATACCCCATTTGGCCTTGTTTCACTCAGCCTGTAAGTCACAAAATGATCCTTGTCAAAATGATCACCTGCCTAGGTGATCTCTAAAGCCCAGCAGCCAATGTCACTCTTGTCGCTCAAGTAATCTGGAGTGTTTCGAGCTACCACCGCTGCCACCCCAGGGGAGTGGTCCGAAGTCACAGTCTGGGCTCTGCAGGTGAAATTGGCGTGGAGATAAGATAAGCTTTACAGGCAGCGGCCACACACTTGGGCTCCATGATTAGAACACAGATGGTGACTGTTACTCTTTTCCCTATCCAGGCTCAGTGCTTCCAGAATGACGTCACCTCTTAAAAAGGCTCCCCTGGATACACTCAATCTGTTCTCATCACACCAGAGCGCGGGCCAGGCGCTCATCCTCACTGGGGTGCAGTCACAGGAGCTCGCTCTTTACCTACCTATGAATGCCCCATTCACCTTCTTAACCAGATCCTTCCTTGCCCTTTAGAATGCAATATTCATTTTCATTAAAAGATTAAGGCAAGTCTGCATGTTCTGATATGGAAATACTTCTGATATGCAAGCAGAGAAACACAAGTCTAAGGTCGGACACCCATCTCTGAGGAAGGACGGCGTGGTGGTGGTACACACTCCGGATGACTCAGCTGACATCCACGTTCAAACACTGCCTCTTACTTGCATCACCTCAGACACAGATCTTTCCACAAATGATTTCTTTTGCTTAAAAAGCTATTACTGCGGCTTCCCTGGTGGCTCAGTGGTAAAGAATCTGCCCGCCAACGCAGGAGACACGGATTTGATCCCTAATTCAAGAAGATCCCATATGTGACAGAACAACTAAGCCCATACACCACAACTATTAAGCTCCAAAACAAAAAAAGCCACCACATTGAGAAGCCTGAGCACTGCAACTAGAGAGGAGCCCCCACTTGCTGCAACTGGAGAAAAACCCGCACAGCCACGAAGACCCAGCACGGCCAAAAATAAATAACTAATTTTTAAAAAAAGAAGCCATTACCTGAGCCAAATTCTATGCCTCAACGTCACTTCATGTGTAAAAATGGGGATAAGAAGAGTACTTATCTCTTTGGGGCCCCTGGGATGACTAATGAGTTAACTCGATAAGGTTCTTAATGTCAGAGCTCAACAAATGTGACAGGGGTGGAGGGCTGTTAATGTTTCTTCTGAAGAATAAGGTGAGGAGCTTTTCAGTTTTTACTTTGTATACTTGTGAACTTTTAATTTGTGCAATGAGTTGGGCCCAGAATGTAATTACTACTGTAATTAAGAAAATTAAAAAAAGAAAGAAAATAATAAGCTACATGTTTTTCTTTTAAATATGTAAATGTAAAACGTTCTCATTTTTGTACAGGCCCTTTGTGAACCCAGACCTAATTACCCTCCACCATTGGCTCCCTTCACTGTGTGTGTGTGTGTGTGTGTGTGTGTGTGTGTGTGTATGTGTGTGTATACACCTGCATATGAATGTGAGCCTAAGTGTGCGTGGGAGTAGGGTGGAAGGGCGCGTTCACTTCATCATTTATATTATTTACACACACTCCATTGTATGCCTATGATGTTCTGGTTTTATTTGTTCCAGGAAGCCACATAACCTCTGTGCTGGGCTGTTCGGGAGTTATGAACCGCAATAGCTGCCCGAATCCACTCCACCCCACCCCCCACCCCTAGCAAGACTTTCCCCATAATGAGAACCATCATGAAAAGTCTTGCAACTTGAAGGCAATCCATGGGATAAGAAATGAAAGAAGACCAACAGTGGTGAGAAAAAGAAACGACCTGCTCAGGGCCCTGACCCCAAGGGCGGTCTGACCTCCTTCCCCAGCAGTTTGGCCCTACCGCACACCCGGTCCGAGGCCTCGGCTTGCTTTTCACTTTGTACCACTGCCAGAAAGTCCCTCCTGCGGAGATGACTTTAGGACAATGAAGAATTGTCCCAGAAAGAGGGGAAGGGACAAATGCTAGGCCCTCACACCACCTGAGTTCAGACTCCTTCCCCGAAACTCCCGAGGAACAGAGAAACCAGCTGCACTGAGGCAGTGAGAGGTTCTGCTGGAAAGAAGAGGCCGGAGCATCTGGGCAGCTGGAGCCCTCGGAGGGGTCCCTTCAGGGCAGGCATCACAACAGAGAAAGAGGCAGCAGGGGCCTTCCAGACCCCACCCCAGAAATCCTCACTGCCACACACCCACTTTGCAACACAGAATCCTGGGGCAGGTACCAGACGGCAGGCTGGCCCGGTTTGTCCCGATTCTGTGGGCTGGACCAGGGGACTTCACCACCGCTTCGAACACCACTTCTATGGCGAAATTTATTTCGATTTCCAATAACTGACTCACACACATGCGGCAGGAACCCAGCCCACTGATAATTTGGAGACAGCATGTACTGTTTTCCTCAATTAGTCTGAGACTTTCATATCCAACTAAAATTATGTGCCTGCTGCCAAGCAGGCCTTGATCCTTTTAGATGCTCAATAAACGGTGAATGGGAACCATACTGACACCTCGGTACAGACAGCCCTGGAGCGCTGAGGCGTCAGACGGTGCTCTGTACTCAATCAAGTTCTTCCCCAACCCTGGGCCCAGGGACCCACCCCAAGGCCCCTCCTACCTGTTTGCCAGCTGCTGCTCAAAGTCCCCACATTGCCTTAAGAGCTCTCCACAGGTGGCTATTATCCTAAACAAAACAAAAAGCACTTCACGTTTAAGCACCTGGAATGCTGACATTTACAGGACAAACATTGTCTCATTCATAAAAATTCTAACTATTCAACCCTTTTGGTTGTGTGCTGGGTTGTGGGAAAGCAGGTAATCCTTTGAGCTCAGTCGTGTCAGACTCCTCACAAACCCACAGACTGGAGCCCGCCAGACTCCTCTGTCCATGGGATTTCCCAGGCAAGGATACTGGACGGGGTTGCCATTTTCTTCTTCAGGGGATCTTCCCGACCCAGGGATCAAACCTGGGTCTTCTGCACTGCAGGCAGATTCTTTACCTTTACCGTCTGAGCCACAGGGAAGCCCACTTAGAGTGCCGGCCTGAAATGTTCCATTCATTAGTAATTCATGTAAAAGGGGAATTCTGGTCCCTTCTGATATTCCTCTGTCATGGGTCTCCCTGCTATGAATCACAACTCTATCCAACGTGATCTGAAATAATTTAACATGTCCCAAAATACGAGGTGGTGCTAGTGGTAAAGAGCCCACCTGCCAATGCAGGAGACCTAAAAGACGTGAGTTCGATCCCTGGATCAGGAAGATCCCCTGGAGGCGGGCATGGCAACCCGCTCCAGTATTCTTATGTGAAGAATCCCATGGACAGAGGAGTCTGGCCGGCTACAGTCCATAGGGTTGCAAAGAGTCGGACACAACTGAAGCAACTTAGCACGTACACAAAATACTGAAGTTGGTTTTGGTTTTTGTCTTTGAGAAAATGGGTTGGAGAAAATTCCCTGGTGGCTCAGCAGTTAGGACTTGAGTTTCCACTGCTGAGGGCTTGGGTTCCATCCCTGGTCAGGGAACTAGGATCCCACAAGTTTTGTAGTATGACCAAAAAAAAAAAAAAAAACCCAGAAACAATAAAATGGGTTGAAAATTTGCCTCTAAAATTTAAAAACCAAAATTCATTATTTAAGGTTTGTGAGATGCCTGCTATTTGCCAGCCATAGAAGAGAAAACTGTTTTGATATTAGAATTATGTTTCACCCTGATCACATGAAAAGCAGAGGAGTTTAATCCATTTGTTTCTGAGAGATAAGTCTGAATGATCATCATGTCTGAATTTAATATTCATTTAATTTCCGAGTAAATTTTATGCTAGGCCTCAAAACTCCAGCCACTGAGTCCTTCAACACCAAACTATAACGTCAGGACAAATCCAAGGATTAAAAACATCTTAGGGCTAGTTAACTTTTAACTTTCTCTAAAAGTGCCTATCATCACCAAGATATCTAGGCATTCCATCATAAGAAAGGTTTATGAGAAAGTGAAATATTCCACTCACATCAGGTACAACAGAACAACTGTGTGCATAATATATTCTGGTGTTCCAAGCTGCCACAGTTGATAAGGGATATTAGCATCTAGAACATTAAATTTCATAAAAAAATAAAAGTTCAGATCAGAGCCCATGAGGAGATATTCCAAGTGGCCTTGGGAGGCCCCGGGTTTACCCTGGTAAGATGGTCTTTGGACGCACATGCGCCATGGGTGCCCTGCACACACCACCTAGGCCAGGGGGTCAGGCAAGGAATATAAGTGGGGGAAGCAGCTTGCCTTTCCAGAACACGTCTGTAAGGAATAATTGTAAGGAAAAGAAATTTCTGGATTGCTTTTTATCTCAGGCCAATATCTCAAGCCAGCTGTTAGGCCTCATAAGAGTGGGAGAACAGAACAGAGAACAGTCACCTAGTCAACCCGGGGTTTCGGCTTCCAGCCCCAGGCAGAGGCCAAGGTCAAGCACAGACAAAGTGCTTCCAGAGAGTCCAGTTTTGACATGATGTTGGAAAGCTGGATTATGTTAAACCTGGTTTTACATGCTGGCAAATAATCTAAAAAAATTTTTTTAAATACTGTGATCAAACAAAACTTGTCCACAGGTCAGATCCGGCCACTGGCCAGCATTTGCATTCCCTGGCTGGACATATCAAGGGCCAAATGCCTCAGGCCACTACCAATCACACTCTGATCAGACCTCAGGGTTTAGGGTAACAGGGTGTCTACCGAGCAGCCCACAGGTCCCAGACGCTACCCTGGAGCCTGTCAACAACTACTCAGGAGGGTGACCTCAAGTCCTTTCATGGAACTCTCACATGGCTCCTTCCAGGCTAGAGTACTGCCTTACCATTTAGTACTATGGCACTTAGATCCAGAAATAGGATGCAATCAGCTGTGCATTTTCTAAAATATAAAAGCTCTAACTTACTGCAAAAACTGCAGGCTAAGGGAGGGAAAAAATCTCAAGCCAGACAAAAAACTTAAATCGCCAAAGGAGATGAGTTCCTAAAGAACTTCTAAAAATATTTTAAGAGCAAGACAGGTCTTTTTGGTGTTTGTTTTTTGTTTGTTTGTTTGTTTTTGGTTCATTTATTGGCTTGTTTGCAGCATCTAGAGTATTTGCTTTAAAAGGTGGGGGGTGGCGGAGGAGACAGTGAAAGAGGAAAAAAAAACACATTTATCATTTTTATACATTATTATATATATGTGTGTGTGTGTGTTTATATATGTTTACTCCCATTTTACCTAATGGAATTCTGAAAAGCCGTCCAATCTTCTTGAAAAAGGGAGTTGAGAGGAATATCATCCAATCTGTACTTCTTTCGTATTGAGTGAAGAGTACTTGTGAAGTCAGACACATATCTATGGGGAAAGAAAAATTAACAGCGGTGTCATCATAAACTCTCCAGACCTAGAGACACCAGGAATTACAAAGCTTTGGACAAAACCACTAAGGAGAGCCTCTTCAGAGGCTATCCTACGAAGAGTTGTCACGACTCATAAAGCTCTGACCACAAACAAGTCTCTATGTAACAAGACGGTCTCTTTCATCTTGCAGAGCAGCTTTAAGAGATGTTCAAGATGAGTGGGAAGGGGATGGCCACTAAGACCAAGACTCTGTGATCCACCAGGTGATAGATGATGCTGGCAAATCACTCCCTCATCCTAACAGAGGCATTTCTTTGGAAGCTAATTTAAAGGACTGTTTTAAAACATCAGGGCCCCTCTGTAATACCTGACTGATAGCTAGGATAGCACAAGATACTTCTGCAGCATTGAAATCCTTGAAAGTGAAATCGTTCAGTTGTATCTGACTCTTTGCGACCCCATGGACTGTACAGTCCATGGAATTCTTCAGGCCAGAATACTGGAACGGGTATCCATTCCCTTCTCCAGGGGATCCTCCCAACCCAGGGATTGAACCCAGGTTTCCCGCATGGTAGGCAGATTCTTTACCAGTTAAGCCACAAGGGAAGCCCAAGAATACTGCAGTGGGTAGCCTATCCCTTCTCCAGCAGATCTTCCTGACACAGGAACCGAAGCAGGGTCTCCTGCATTGCAGGCAGAGTCTTTACCAACTGAGCTATCAGGTAAGCCCACTCTAATCCTTGAATTCAGAGTAAACAGTCAAGCCCCATGGCTTGGGCCCAATCTTAAAATGGCACAGGAGCATGAAACTGGATTCCAAACTGAAAACCCTCCCTCGCAGACTGTGCTGTTTGCTCCCACTATACCACTTACTTTTCTTCATCCCACTTATCACTAAATAGCTTATCACATCCCACTTATGACTAAATCCCAAGTATCAGTAAATAGCTTATTTAATATATGTGTTTAACGTTAACTGCTGTCACTAAACTAGAAGCTCTGGGAGAGAACAGGGACTATCCCTTTATGGCTCATAACTGTATCCCCAGGAATTAGCACAGGCCTGTCCATAAGGGAGACATCCAGAAACAGGCTGTGAGGCAATGACAGACCTGTACAGCAGTATCTAGGCAAGTACCTAGGTGTCTTTGGGCCTCAGTTTCCTCATCTTCAAAATGGACTTAATGATGTCTTCTGCACTGCCTTCCCTGATAGCTTAGTTGGTAAAGAATCCACCTGCAATGCAGGAGACCCTGGTTCGATTCCCGGGTCGGGAAGATCTGCTGGAGAAGGGATAGGCTACCCACCCCAGTATTCCTGGGCTACCACTGTGGCTCAGTTGGGAAAGAATCTGCCTGCCAAGCGGGAGACCTGGGTTCGATCCCTGGGTTGGGAGGATCCCCTGGAGAAGGGAGAGGCTACTCACTCCAGTATTCTGGCCTGAAGAATTCCATGGACTGTATAGTCCATGGGTCACAAAGAGTCGGACATGACTGAGCGAGTTTCACTTTCTGTACTGCCCCACAGTGTTGTCATGATGATAAAATGAAATGAATGAAACAGTACACACAGAAGTTCCCTGAAAAGTATAAAATGAAAGCTGATGTGCAGTGGTACTGTTTTTATGTATTGTAACTCCCTTGGTACCTGTGAGGGACTGATTTTAGGATCCTGCCCTCAGCCAAAGTACCAAAATCCATGGATGTTCAAGTTTTTTAAAAAATACAAAATGGCATATAGTATTTGCATATAACCTAGGCACATTCTCCCATATATTTTAAATCATCTCTAGATTACTTACAATACCTAATACAAGGTAAATGTTATGTAAATTGTAAATACAATGTAAATGTTACGTAAATAGTTGCTAGCATGTGGCAAACTCACGGGTAAATTCAAGTTTTCCCTTTTGGTACTTTCTGCACACTTTTTTCCCAAATATTTTTGATCCACAGTTAGTTGAACCCACAGATAAGGGATGCTGGATACAGAGGGCCGGCTGTACAGTTCTTGGAATGTGAACAATAAGTATATTCCTTTGGAACAGTATGGTAGGGAGGACATGGGTGGACGGTCATGTGCTCTGGAAGCCAAGAGGCTCCCTAAAACCCACAACACCTGCACACATCACAGGAAGTCTTGCTCCCCTCCGTTTCCAAACCATATGCTCTAGGGAGGACGGTGGACTACGAGGACCCCAGGCGCTGCCCTGAAGAATAAGTCTGTGTGGTGGAAAGAAAGGCCATTCAGAGAAGCAAGTGGACAGAACTGCAGCAGGCCACTGCACTGAGGACGAATGCCGCTGCTGCTGCTTTCATGGAGGCCTCAAACTGTAGGGCTGAGAAGCTATGAAACCAAACTGCCACAGACCCTACCCAGAGATGAGACGGCTTTCCTTGAGGGAGGGGCAGGGGTCTCAGGACACCCTGAGAGGGGGCTCTTGGAGGACATAATTGTGCTTTAGCTGAAGAAGGTTAAACGCCTGTGTCACCACCCTGCAACTGTGACAATTACATGAAGAGCGCCCCGCCCAACAGTGCACGTGCGCTGCAGAAGCTCCTGACAGAGTCCCCGGGATGGTGAGCAGCTGCAAAGCACTGCAGGGGGTGAGGGTGGGGGTCGGGGGGAGGTGGGTGATCACTTAGCCCCAGCGGGGCTCGCAGGTGATGTGTGCACCACATCACGTTTTTACCGCGTTTGTACCAAAACACTCTAACTCTCTCACAATAAATGTTTCTAAGGGTCTCTACCATGCAAGGTGCTGTAATTACGTGCTTTCACTCAATATTCCCCAGGCTTCCCTGCTGGCTCAGGCAGTAAAGAATCTGCCTGCAATGCAGGAGGCCTGGGTTCGATCCCTGGGTTGGGAAGATCCCCTGGAGAAGGGAATGGCTCCCCACTCCAGTAGTATTCTTGCCTGAAGAACTCCACGGACAGAGAAGCCTGGCAGGCTACAGTCCATGGGGTTGCAAAGACTGACTGAGCGACTAAGCACATTCATGTCTCACTCAATATTCACAACCACACAGAAAGGAGATATTATCACCATCAGTTTCCCCAAATAAAAGATACCAAGACTCAGAAAGGTGCATGAACCCACCCAAGGTCCCAGCTAGTTAGGTACCTGAGCCAGGATCTCAGCTCAGGGGGCTCCACCTCCAGGGTCCAGGCTCCCTCACAGCCGGAACACCCCTCACTCTGCACCACCCCGTCTCTACCTGGATTCTACAGCCTCGGCCGAGTCCAGCTTAGGCTGCCCTCCTGCCCTGCCTGCATCCTTCATCTTCCCTACGCCTCCTTCCTAAACACCATCCCATGCCCATCCCACTCCTGAACAAGGTCCCACTTGAACCCCGGCAAGTCAGTATCACCCTTATTTCCCTGACTAATTTCATAAACAAATATCAGTTATTTTGGTAGCTTCAAATCCTCCCCTTCTAGAGAAGGTGATCTGGCTTCATCATACATCCTTTGGTCCAGTTTGAATTTTTAATATGGATTTGCATTACTTTTTAAAATGAAGGAACTGAAGTAACCAACAGAAGAACCAAAAATGAAAACATCACCAACGAAAACTGGGAGGAGAGAGGACATGAGAGGACCAGGCTCAAAGAAGCCCAGTTCCTCACCTTTCAGAGTTGAGAGTCAAGACATAACAGCTAAAGGTGATAAACAAACAAATTTCCTTTAAAGTCTGGAGAGAAGAGTGAGAAGGCTAAGACTCCTTGAGCCCAATGCAGGGGGCCTGGGTCCGATCCCTGGTCAGCGAACCAAGATCCTGCATGCCAAAACTGAGACCCAGAGCAGCCAAATATATTTAAATAAAAGACTAAAAGTAAAATGCTTAAAACTTGTGACTTCTGAGGAGAAGGACATGGGCAGGAAAGCAGGAAGACTTGCTTTTTTACACCTTTTTGTATTTAAATATATATCTATTTCTGAAAGCATTTTACTTTTGTTATTTTGTAATAAAATTTTTAGATCTCAAAAAAAGTTATTTCATCCAAGATGTGAATTTTATTTGATTAAACCTGTTGCTGATGTTTTTCTCTCTGGAGGTCCCGTCTGGGCTCACCTGCTTCCCCTCCATCTGCGAGCAGAGCCCCTGTCCCCTCCAGTGCCTTCCTGTGAGCCGCCCTTGGAGATGCAGACGGCCCACGGCAGTGACCAACAGCACTGGGCCCCAGGACCCTCGGAGCTCACAGGGGCATGTTCAGTATTTCTGGAATGACAAGGGCTCCCTAAACTTATAGCACCAAAAGCGCATTCAGTTCAGTACGAGGAGTTTCTTGAGACTCAAGGCAACTTTTATTCCCGAATACAATCTCTTGCAGAGCCTGAGAATGTATCCGTCCATAAGCTAAAGCCCGAAGCATCTATCCTCCCAAGGGCCCTTCCACCTCAATTACACAGGTCAGAGAATCCAGCCTTATACTGACTTCTTTTCTTTTCTCTAAGTAAATTTAATTTTGGCCTCCCCTCTTTCTTTCTTCTAATGGCTTTATTGCATTTGCAATTCACAAATCACACAAGTCAAAGGTTTTTATGCAGTCACAGAGTTGTGCAACCATCACCACAATCAACTTTAAAACAAGCTTCATCATCCTGAAAAGAAACCCTGTACCTTTTAGCAGTCATTGCGCATCTCCTCCAAATGCCCCCCTTTCCCCAGCTCTTCTGTTTAGTTGCTCAGTCACGTCTGACTCTTTTGCAACCCCATGGACTGTAGCCTGGCAGGCTCCCCTGTCCATGGGATTTTCCAGGCAAGAATACTGGAGTGGGTTGCCATTTCCTCCTCCAGGCAATCTTCCCGACCCCGGAATCGAACCTGCACCCCCTGCCTAGGCAGCCACTAACCTATTGTCTGTCTCCATAGATTTGCCTGTTTTGGACATTTTGTATAGATGGAATCATATAACGTGAGGTCCTGTCCGACTGGCTTCTTCTACTGAGCATGATGTTTATATATTTTTTAATTTTATATTTTTAATTACACAAGAAATGTGTGAATTTAGTCTCCTTTTTAAGAATCAGACAAGAACAAAGCTAAGTCTCCTATAACTACTAACTTAATCCTCCCGCTCCTCAAATATAATCAGTGTTTGGAGTTTTGCCTAACCTTCCACATCAGGGCTTAGCAAACTTTGTCTGTTAAGGTCCAGGTATTAAGTTTTGCAAGTCACAAGGTCTCTGTCTTAACTACTCAACTCTAACTTCATTGGGAGGATTTAGAGGTCACAGATAAATGAATGGGCTTGGTGGAATTCCAATAACACTTTTACAAAAACTTTCACAAAAACAGACTTGGCTCATGAGCTAGAGTTTGGTGACCTGTATTCTGTAGGAATATATCATGCACTTATAGCGTCAAGAAGGATCCAGAACAAGAATTGGCACTCCTGGTTTCTTGTAAACAAAGTTTTACTGGAACAAGGCCACATCCACTCAGGTATGTATTGTCTCTGGCTGCTTCTGTACTTCTGGGGAAGCACTCTCTATGAAAGTCTCTATTGACTGCAAAGCCCTCAAGGCCTACCATACTCATCATCTGGTCCTTGGCAGAAAAGCCTTGCTGAGCTCTGCTACAGAAAATGTACTCTACAAAGTATCCTGCAACTTTTTATTCACCTCAACGGTATGTTTTGAAATCTATCCCTGCTGTTATGTATAGATCGAACTAACACCTTAACTGCCTCATAAGGAACTCCCCTAATATGAATATACCATATCTTACTTGGCCATTTCCAAATTGATGGACATTCTGGTGGCTTTAAATGCTCCACCATAAGGAATGTGCTGTGATGTTCTTAGCATCATTAAGGACGTCCCCTTAGGCTTAGGTGCAAGTGCCTCTCCAGAATTCACGGCAGGAATACGGACATCCGCATTTTTAACTGGGAGACACCACTCTGCCATGAGGCTGGCCCTGACTCCACGCTCCCAGCCTTACTTGGCAAAAAGGGACTTCAAGGCCACCAGAAGGCCATATCTCCCCTGTGGCTGGCCCTGATCCCACTTCCCCAGCCTTACTTGGCAAAGAGAGACTTCAGCGCTGTCAGCAGGCCACAGGTCCCCAGGCCATTGGTGAATCTGATGCATCTGTCAACGGCTGCAGAAGACAGGCCAAAGAGCTTGTTCACAGAGTGGCTCAGCTCCTGCACACAGTCAATGACTTCCCCGTGTTCCTGGTCAGCAAACAGTAACAATAAAAAGCTGCCTCAGAATGAAGAACAAATGAACAGACAACATTCAGATGGGAGGAGCTCCAGACCTCCTCATTCCCGGTCAAACCACTTACTATGAACATCAGAAATGTAGTCCCAAACTATGAGAGCTCTTTAAGAGCCTGACTGAGGGAAGAACAGTCTAAGCAGCCAGTGAGATCACAGAAATAAACTCCTGGCCAAAAAGCATGATCAAATCCTTACAGTCATCCTCTTTTTCTGTGATTAAGATGGTATCTCTCCCTCCGGCTCTCAAGTGAGGGTCTGAATTCTCCGTACCACACACCCCAAAAGAACGCACTGAAAAAAAACATGCTTCCTTTAGGGGCAAGAACATAACTGAGTGGGACAGAGTTTCTAGGGACATCCTTAGAAAACAGAGAAAAAGTGGCAGGAGGCAGTCGACCTGAACTACTGTAAGATCTATTTTTCAATGTCAACTCACCTCCCGCTAGACAGCCTTCATTATTTGCAATGGAAATTCCTCTCTGGTGTGTCCAGCTGGTGAACCTAGCCTGAGAGCACCATCCTAGAGTGCTCTGCTCCAGTGTCTGTTTGCATATCTGCCTCGAACAAAAGACTGCGTAATCATGCCTGACTCAGGGAGATCACCAACTTAATCTCGAGAAGATTTAAGCCTCTGAGGGGTGCTAGGCCTTTACTGGGGATTTTAAATAAAAACCAGGTAGCAGACCTGTGGTCTCCTTTTAATTTGGATTACAAGAGACCTGGAAGCACTGAGAGCCCATGTTTTACACACCTGTTCCCACTCTCCGCATTCCGCATGCCAGCTCCCACCTTCTCCGAAGCATCCCAGCCACCCCGACCCTGGCCTGGCAGACAGAGCGATGCCCAGCTGGCCCCGGCAGTGCTGTGGCCTTACCAGAGGCACCTCGCTGAACTGGATGAGGAGGCACTTCTCTTCCATGTCTCCATACTTCAGCTGGTAGGGCTTGTATGGACCATACACAGCATCCACCAGTTCCATGACTTTCACCAGGTTTTGCTCATCTTCAAGGAAATCGGAAATTAAAAGCAATAATGAACAAGGAACTGGAAATAACTGGTGAGAAATGATAGGTGAACGGAACTCTCCTGGAACTTTTCCTATTTCATCTTTGGGGTGACTACTTTCTTTTCATCTGCTGTTACCATTCATGGAACCTGCAACAATCATGTCAGTAAATATTTCGATAAATTTGAGCTTTGTGTACTATTTGCCTAAAGCGCTATTAAAGACACGGATTCAGGGAGCTTCCCTGGTGGTCCAGTGGTTAAGACTCTGCCTGCCAACGCAGGGGTCATGGGTTTGATCACTGGTCCGGGAAGATCCCATGCGCCTCGGGGCAACTAAGCCTGTGGTCCATGACTACTGAGCCTGAGCTCTAGCATCCATGCTCTGCAGGAAGAGAGCTACCACAGTGAGAAGCCCACCTACAGCAACTAGAGAGTAGCCCCCCGCCCCAGGCTCGCCACAACTCGAGAAAGCCCTTGGGCAGCAACAAAGACCCAGTGCAGCCAAAAATAAATAAATAAAAATTTAAAAAATAATAATAAAGATACAGATCCCCTTAATCCTATAACCCATCATAATTGAGAACCCCTTCAAATGATAACCCTCCCCAGGGTCAAGTTCAAGAAGTGCTACAGAGAAAAGGCTCTGCACAAAGAACATTTTCATTTGGAGCATTCCCAGGATTTTCGAGAAACGGGATATGCACCAAAATTCCTATATTCAACTACATGAAAATTTTAATGTGCATATTCTGTGACATGGTAATTCAACTGCTAAGAATTCTCTCTTCAGCTGGGATCCCAAATCGTTCCCATAGCCTGCAAAGTTCTACCATTGCTTGATCTCAGGAGGTGAAAGAGGGGACAGTTAAGGATGAAGGCTCTTCTGACTGAAGTTCTCCTGCTTCCAGTTACGGGACTGGGTGCAAATGACTTAACTTTTCAATGTCTGTTTCCTCAACTGTAAAGTGAGGTTAATAATGGCATCAATTTTATAGGCTTAACTGGAGATTATGTAGAATAGTATGTGTCTAGCACATGTAAGCACTCAATAATGCCAGCTACTTCTGTCATACGCAGCCTGGCGTGCTGCAGTCCATAGGGTTGCAGAGAGTCGGACATGACTGAGCGACTGAACTGAACTGACTTTTGTTATAACTTCTACAGTCTTGGCCTCTTTCACAACTCCCCTAGCCTCCAGCCTTCTCTGGGTTCCTCAAAAGCTCCCCTCTGGCCACCGGCTGCTACTTCTGCCTGGAAAGACCTTGTTCTTCCCTATCCCTCCCTCTTCATCTGGTTAACTCCTATTCTTCCTTCAGGACTCACTCAGCTCATGTCTGAGGGTCTCGATCATCTTTAACTGCTTAGGACCATTCTGCTTTTCTCCTAGAACCATTTTGCTATTCAAAGTACTCATCTTGCTTTGTAATTATACACTCATTAGTATGATTATTTGGCTATTTCCCACTGGAATATACATTATATGAGAGCAGGGACTGTGTCTGGTTTTGCTTAGCATGGCATCCTCAGCATCCAGCACTCTAGAACTAGCCCATTTACAGTTGAATAAGTAAATTAAATACCTTTTGACCTAACCATTAGAGGGTCATGAAAAATAATTGTATGGGTATATAAAAGACACAGAGACACACATATGCGTGTGTGCACACACACACACTGCTGATGGAAACCATGATCCTCAGTGTAGGAGAGAAGAGATTCAGTAAAGAATGGCAAGAGGTAAAAATCCACTGGTGTTGGATTTGATTTGGAAGTATCAGTATAAACTGGCAATTTTTAAAAATATGGGGTTTCCCTGGTGGCTCAGTTGTAAAGAATCTGCCTGCCAATACAGGAGACATGGGTTCAATCTCTGATCCGGAAGGATCCCCACATGCCGCAGAGCAATAAGCTGTGTACCACAACTACTGAGTCTGTGCTCCAGAGGCCGGGAGCCGTAACTACTGAGCCCTGGTACCACAACTACTGAAGGCCGAGTGCCCTAGAGCCCACGCTCTGCAGCAAGAGACACCACTGCAATGAGAAACCTGCACGCCACAGCTAGGGTAGCCCCTGCTCACCACAACTAGAGAAGAGCCCAGGCGGCAACAGACTGAGCGCAACCAAAAATAAATAAACAGGCACACACATGTCCCCTCCCTCCTGAACCTCCTTCCCACCTCCTTCCCCATCCCACCCCTCTAGGTTGTCACAGAGCCCGGGTCTAAGTTCCCTGAGTCGTACCCCTATGGCTGATTCATGTTGATGCTTGGCAGAAACCAACACAAACCTGTAAAGCATCTATCCTTCAATTAAAAAAATAACTTTTTTTAAAAAGAAAAATAAATTTTTAAAAAATTAAATAAAATACATGTATTTCCTAGCTCTGTTCACAAAGGGCCTAGGAGGTAATAATAGCCCAGCAACAATAAGCACCCATGCTGCCAGATCTTGGTTGCTAAATACCACTTTCCACGAGAAGAAACCAAGCTCCTTGAGAAAACAGCTGATTCCAGGTCTGAGGCAGTACAAAATGTTCCTGGATCTGTGTGTGCCAAAAAGCAATAAAGCACTCTAAGACTGCTAGGGACATGTCAAAATGATGCCAGGAGCCAGACTGAAGGGGCAACCACCAAACAAATTTGAAATAATTCAAGCATCAAAATGAATAATGAAAATACTGTATCATAATATAATGAATAAAGAAATCCGTAAGTTAATAGTGACATTAAAGAGAGGCGAAGGAAAAATCTCCTCACAAAAGAATGCCTTCAAATATATGTAAAAGAAATGAGAGAACTAGAATATTACCATTTTATAATCAGCAATGTAAAAGTTTATTCAAGCAGGAATTACCAATGGATGCTAAAGTCATTAGGTAAATGTTTCTTAAGGAATGGAATATTCCTATGGGTTCAAAATATCACACCATAGATAATTATTAATTACAAAGAGGAAAAGGTAACTTTACAATGGAGTGACCTGGCAGGTATAACTACCAAGTGATTAATCCAACCCATCACCAATAATTGGATATCATATGTCTCCTGATGTGATGCCATAGGAAGTATACATCATCAACAGTGCAGTATTCTTATTAAAAATGTTTCATCTAAATCTAACCACAAGGAAACAATTAGATAATTCCAGGCTATAGGACATTCTACAGGAAAACTACCCTGTATTCTTCAAAGATAAAAGTGTCACGAAAGACCAAAAATGAGATACCTGTTTTAGTTTAAAAGAGATTAAAGAGAAAGGACAACCAAAAACAATGCATGTACACTGAGTGGACTTTAATAAGAGGCAGGGAAACAGCTATAAAGACTGTTGTGGAACTAGGAAAATTTGTGTACTGGATGCCAGTACTGAATCAATGTAAAACCGAGAGGGTGACAGTGATAAACAAATACTGTATTAAAAACATTTAACAAGGACTTCCCTGGTGGTCCAATGGCTAAGAATCCACCTGCCCGTGCAGGGGACACAGGTTCGATTCCTGGTCCAGGAAGATCCCACATGCTGTGCAGCAACTAAGCCCAAGTGCCACAACCACTGAGCCCACACATTTCAACTACTGAAGCCCCTACACCCTGGAGCCCATGTTCTTCAACAAGAGAAGCTGCCACAATAAGCCCACACACCCACTGCAAGGAAGAGTAGCTCCCACTTGCTGCAACTAGAGAAAGTCTGTACACAGCAACAAAGACCCAGCTCCATCAAAAATAAATAAATTTAAAAAAATTTTTTTAAGACAGCAGTTCTTTTTAAAAAAAGTTAACAATATTATAAAGCAATTATACTCCAATAAAAATTAATAAAAAATAAAAAGCATTTTAAATACATACACACACTCATATACAAAATATTCATGTGTATATAAGGCAAAATATTGTTTCTGGATAGCTGATTGAGTTTTTCTTTTTCCTTCCCTGTATTTTCTGGGTTTTTCTGAACTGAATACGTGTGTATGTGTTCAGTGGTGTCCAAATCTTTATGACCCCATGGACTGTATCGCCAGCTTCATCTGTCCACAGAATTCCCCAGGCAAGAATACTGGAGTGGGTTGTCATTTCCAACTCCAAACATATTGCTTGTTAACTATAAAGTCAACTAATTATTTCTTTTACTTTCTACTGCATAACCTTTTAGATATTTTGAGTTATACTGCATACATTAAAATAGACAAGTCTTAAAGGTAAACTAGAAAGTTAGAAAACGTATCTGCAACATAGCTGATAACGAGAAAAAAATCCGTACTCTGTACGATATTTTGGGAATACACACCAAATTTTTAACAGTGGTTATTTCCAGCTAGTGGGATTATAGGAGAGTTTCATCTTATGTTATAGATATAACTATATCATGAATTTTTATAACAGTGCTTTGTTGATTTTATAACATATTTGATAAAACATTGTTTTAAATAAATTGCCCTTATAAATTAACCAGAAATAGATTAAACTCTCAAACAGAAAAAGAGGCAAAAGAACAAGCAATTTAAGAGAAAAAATATAACTTTTTATAATGCAATTTTCAAACTGGCTAGTAATCAAAGAAATGAAAATTGAAACAATATATTGTTAACTGTCTAAGAAACTGGCAAGGGGAAAAACTATAGAGCCTAGTGCTGGTTAGGGCATGGGGGAATGAGCAGCCTTATTTACTACAGATGAATCTGAAAAGAAGTAGAAACTTTCTACAGAACAAAATGTGACAAAATCTTTAAATTTTTCATTTATTAGCAACTGTAATTTTCAAATTTCTTCCAAGGAATAATCAGAGGTGGGCTCCAAAATTAATGTGCAAGATTGTTTATAATAGTTTTATTTCTAAATAGTGGATTAAAAAATTAAAGTAAGCCATCGTTATCAAATGGTCATTAAAAACCATGTCTTAGGAAGATATTTAATGACCTAAAAATGCTCATTATATTAATGTGAGCAAAAAAGAGAGTATAAGATCATATAAACTAGTATTTTTCAAGATACATGCATATGTATATATTCATATATGCATCTATTTCATATGTTGTTGTTATTTAGTCACTAAGTCATGTCCAACTCTTCTGTGACCCCATGGACTATAGCCTGCCAGGCTCCTCTGTCCATGGGATTTCCCAGGCAAGAACACTGGGTTGCCAATTTCCTCCTCCAAGGGATCTTCCCAACCCAGAGACTGAACCCCCATCTAGTGCATTGGCAAGTAGATTCTTTACCACTGAGTTACCTGGGAAGCCCTTTACTTCATATACATTTATGAACATGTATATTTATATATGAATTACTGGGAGGAAATAAAACGTTCCCATGCCTCTCTGAGTGAAGAGATTATGGATCATTTTTGTTCTCTTTTATTTTTATGTCTGTTTCCAAAGTACTTTTAAATTAAAAAATACATATACTTTTTTTGGAAAAACCTCAATACGAATCATGAAAAATCTAAACTTCCATGGCTGACTAACAAAGTACTTTCTGTATCTGATTCTTTGGAGGGTGGTTCTCTCTTCTTCAGCAATATCCATCACCAGTGGGAGGAAAGCAACCTGCTTCTGGCCCTGCCTTCATTCCACTCTGCCCTTGCAGGATGCTCAGCCTGAAGACTTCCCAACCACTGGGACAACGATGTCCAGATCCCTGGAAGCTGCCCACGTCCACTGTGCCTCTCCCACAGCCGAGGCCTGATCAGCAAGCGTGCCAAAAACCCCGATGAGTAATCAGGAACTCAAACAACAAACACACTCCCTGGAATGTACAAGGTAATTACACACGGAGGTAATTAAAAAGAGTAACTAGTAAATAAACCAAGTTGGTGACAGTCAGCAGCCCAACAGCAGAAGCAGGCCTTCCTGAGGCGACTTCCTGATTTGACAGCAGCGTTCCTCACGAGGTCTGGGTGACTTAAAGCTTTATGATGGGAAACAGCTGGGGAAATGCAACACACCACGCATTGTTTGCCCAAATGGGAATAAAATGCACTGTGCTCTCACCCAGCAGTTGGGGAAAGCCCAGGTACCCTAAGCCACCCTTGGTCCTAATACTGCACCCTTGCCCTCAAAAATATGCTGTTGTCCTTGCAAAAGGCTCGTCTAAACCACTGGTTCTCTTGAACTTAGTTTTTTAGGTTGACTTGCCTGAGGTTCTGTGAAAGGTTCCTTGAAAGGAAGAGGACACCACCCTCCCAGCGTAACTCGCTGCCCACTCGCTGCTGCTAATGTCCACCTGCCTCTTACACTCTAAGCCCCTGCAGAAGTGCCTGTCACTTCCCCAGCGTGTGTGAAGCACCTAGGCAGCACTGGAACTAGGCAAATATATTAATCAACAATTATTTCCATAATGGCAATGTTTTCATGGAAAAGCTTTCCCCCTCTGTTGAGAAGGAAAACACTGCTCCTTTCCACGTCTGTAAAATCAGCCCCTGGAAAAGGCAAACGAACCCAGCACCCCACCCCCCCAGCCCACAACCGGAAAAAGCGAGGGAAGGCAAGTCAGAGAGCAGGGAGGAAGCCTGTTTACGTGCGTAGGGGAGCAGGGCCATCTCCAAGCCCTTGGCGAAGTGGGCGGTGGCGTCATAGAACTCCAGCAGCTTGACGAGCTCCAGCTCAGGTCCTGCCCGCTCCACGCCGGAACCGAGGCTCACGGGCAGAGAGGGCACCAAGGCTCCCAGGGTCTGAATCAACAGAACAGTTACTACGTCGTGGGGGTTCTTGAAGACCTGCCGGGGGAGAGAGGCACCGGTGTTATCCCATGGGAGCAAACCTTCCAATGAAGCAGACTCCTGGACTGGCCTGCAGGAATCCCTCTGAGCCAGGAAGTGGTCCAATCAAGAGCTGCAGGGTCCAGGCTTTGCTCAGCACCCGTGCAGATGTGCTCAGAAGCCAAGTAAACTAGCAAGACCTGTGCCTTGCCTCAGGACAACTGGCTACTTCATGTCTGCCTAACTATTTTCACATCTATCACATGTAGTATTTAGATATTCGCTAGAGAGAGGACTGTGAAAATGAAATGCAGAAATGGGGAGGTTGTGGGTGGCAGGGAACAAACAGAACTAAAGAAGAGCAATTCACTGAAGCAGTTAGAGGATCTGGAAGCACATTTGTAGACCAGCCTGCAAATCCTCTGTCTGTGGGATTCTCCAGGCAAGAATACTGCAGTGGGTTGTCATTTCCTTCTCCAGGGGATCTTCCCGACCCAGGGATCAAACCTGGATCTCCTGCATTGCAGGCAGAATCTTTACCCACTGAGCTAGATAGTAATACTACCCAAAGCCATCTATATATTCAGTGCACTCTCCATTAAAATCCCAAAAGCATTTTCTGGAGAAACAGAAAAACTCATTCTAAAATTCATATGGAATTTCAGGGAGCCCCAAATAGAAAAAATAATATTGAAAAAGAAGAACACTGACTATCTCATACTTCCTATTTTCAAAATTTACAACAAAGCTATAACAGTCAAAACAGTGTGGCACCTGCATAAGACCAGACAAATAGCCCAATGGAATAGAATAGAGAGCCCAGAAAAACACATGCATGGTCAAATGATTTTCAACAAGGGTGCCAAAATCATTCAATCAGAAAAGGACAGTCTTTTTGACAAATGGTGCTCAGAAAACTGGAAATCCACATACAAAAAAAAAAAAAAATTTGAACCCTTACTTTATACCATATACAAAAATTAACTCAAATGTTAAGACCTACATGTTAAAGAGTGAACTATAAAACTCTTAGAAGAAAACATAGTCCAAATTTCTCATGATCTTGGATTCTTATGCATTGCTGATGGGAATGTAAAATGTTGCAGCTGCTATGGAAAACATTTGGCAGTTCCTCAAAATGTTAAACATAGGATTATATGATCCAGCAATTCCACTTTGGGGGGTAGGTATACACCCCAAACATGGGACCCAAACAGATGTTTGTACACCCATGTTCACAGCAGCATTATTCCGAATAGCCAAAAGATAGAAGCAATTCAAGTATTTATCTACAAATGAAAGGATAAACAAAATGTGGTAAATACATAACAACAGATTATTCAGCCATAAAAAGGGAATGATCCTAGAAAACATTATGCAACATACATCAAACAGCACTCACTTGGCACCAGGACTTATATCATGTAAGTATTACCTCTTTTTTCATTCACCCCCTATAGAAGAGGGGTACCAATGTGACTACCAACACAAATGCACCCACTGAAATCACATGGCAGGAACTGGTTATAAGGTGGTCATGTCCATGATCCAAAATATGTTTATATCTTTTCTTAGATTATTATGAAAACAGAAGACCAAATTTTTTAATTCTCATAGCGAATTCAATGAGTACCTATTTAGTTTAATAAATATCACTGCTGGAGTCTGAGAGAAAAAGACAGAGGAAATCTGCATTTAACCCAACAAATACTGAAACGACCAATTTATATTTCCTGAATGACAGCTTCCAGTCATCTACTAGGCGTCACCATTGAGCTAAGCCACTCTCTCTTGGAATTTTAAAGTGTCCCAGATTGGAACTCATTCTTTTCCTGCTGACCTCCTCAGACCTGTTTCTCTCAACTTCCTTATTTCTGTCAGTAGCATCTCCATTCGACCAAAATAAAAATCTCCCTTTTCACTTTCCTTTCTTTCAGGTCCTTTGTCGCTTACCAGGTTCAAACAATTGCCCATTTTTTAACTGGATGCCTTTGTTACGTTACCATCACCATCCTAGACCAAACATAGCTTCCTACCTATCTTCAGTCTTTCCTCATCAGTTCACCCTATTTACCATTACAAAATTCACTATTTTTAAAGGTCATTTAGAATTTTTCTTATGCTTTAAATGTTTAAATATTGCAAGATTCAACAATTAACATTTTGCCACAAATGCTTTACTTCCTAAACCACTGGAAATGTAATCACAGGTATCATGACATGTTACCGCTAAATACTTCGGCATATATCTCTTAAGAATAAGGCCAGCCTTATCACTACAATGCTGCAACTAATCAAACTTAACCTTGATGTAATACTTATACCTGCTACAGTCCATGTTCAAATTTCCCCAATTGTCCTTTTAATGTTCTTTTGAATAGCTTTTTTTGTCATCATGCAGAATCCCATCCAAGATCGTGAAATTACATTCAGTTGCCTTTTTGTCTCCTTTAATCTTACTAACTCCCTGACTGTTTTTCTTTCATGACACTGACATTTTTGAAGAGTCCAGGACAGATGTTTCAAAAAATGGTCTTCGATTTATCTGCATGCTTCCTTCTGGTAAGACTTTTTGGCAGGGGAACTACATAGGTGATGGTCTGACACCAAAGTGATTCTTAAAACAGTAACATCACTCACACTACTGCTCCAGATGCTCCCTGCCCTCTAGAGAAAGCCAAACTCCTGCCTTGCATTCAGTGTATCTCCATCATATATTCCCACTCCCTCCACACAAAATTGCACCAATACACACCCTCCTCTGTCTCTATCCAAAGTATTAATATTCCCTCCACAGTCCCCTAAACATAAGAGAATCACAGAGATCTTTAGCTATCACCCAGTCCAACTTCCTGATTTGACAAAAGAAACATTTTACTACAAGAAAGGATGGAACCAATGGAGAAAATGAAAAATATTCTTATCTAGAAAAAGAAATCCTGACTCTTCTCCTCATATTGTGAGAAAGGTCTAGGCAATGAGTATCTACTTCACTTTTATCTCCTACTTAAATGACTTGAGGCAGGGGAAGAATTAAACTAAACAACTCTAAACCAAAGCCTTCTAATTGGTTGGGCAGCTGAAACTGTAATGTTTACAGCTGACAGTTTCAGCTGACCAACCAAAACAGGTCTCTCATGTTCAAAGGTGTCCCTTTCCTTTAAAGTGATCTGGCATAAGGGATGCTTTGGCCATTGGTTAAAGAACAACCAAAAGGTTCTAAAGACTACAGGATCAAACTTAACAACTAGGGGCATGGAATTAACCCAAACAACACATGCAGAAACAATCTGGCATTACCTTACACTGGAATTCTCCAGGCAAGAATACTGGAGTGGGTAGGCATTCCCTTCTCCAAGGGATCTTCCCAACCCAGGGATTGTACCCAGGTCTCCTGCATCACAGGCAGCTTCTTTATTCTTTCCTGTCTGGGCCACCAGGGAAGCCCCACCTTACACTATATACAAAAATTGATTCAAGATGGGCCATAGAACTAAATGTAAAAGCTCAACAACCATCTAGAAGAAAACAAAGAAGAATGGCTTTGCAACTTGGGGGTTGGTGATAGTTCCTGAGGACAAAGAAAGAATAACCATATAAGAAAAATATGATAAAATCAAGTTCATCAAAATCAACATTTCTGCTCAGACTGGAAGGAAATATCTACAAAATATATGATAAAAAACTTATATCCAGAATATATAAAGAACTTCTATAACTCAATAATTTAAAAAAGCAAGTTACTCAATTATTTTTTTTAAATAGGCAGAACACCAGATACTTCACAAAGGAAGATATACACGTGGCCAATAAGCATGAGAAAAGGAGTTCAACACCCTTAGTCATCAGGGAAATGCAAATTAAAACCACAGTGAGATACTACAACACACCCACCAGAATGGCTAAGATTAAAAAGACTGACAACATCTAACGATGGCAAGGATGTGGAGCAATCGGAACTCTCATGTACTTGTGTGTGGGAGTGTGAAAAAAGCACAACCACTTTGGAAAAGTGCTGATTTCTTATATACCTAAATATAGACCTAATCTATAACCCAGCAGTGCCTCTCCCATGTCTTTACCCAAGAGATATGAACACATGGTATCCACAAAAAGACTTACAGAACAACGTTCAGAGCAGCTTTATTTGTAATCGCACCAAACTAGAAACAGTCCAAGAGTCCATCAAGAAAAGGCTGAATAAACAAAACTGAGATATATTCATACCGTGTAAGAGCATTCAGTAATGAAAAGGAACAAACTACTGATACACACAACAACGCGAATAAATCTTCAAAAAAAGGCTGAACGAAAGAAGCCTCAACAAAAGAACATACACCGTATAATTCCATTTATGTGAAATTCTACAACTGGCAGAACTAATTTATGGTGGGGAAAAAAGAGAAGAGTGGTTGCCCTCAGTGATGTTGGTACAAAAACTGAGAAGGAACACAAGACAACTTTCTAGGATGACAGTCATGTTCTGTACCTTGGTAGGGGATTAGGTTAAAACTGCATTTGTGAAAACTAATCAAATGGCATATTTAAGATCATCACATTTCACAATTTATCTAAAAAAATCTCAGTAAACAAATACTGAACTCTAGTCAATGATATGTATGTTTGGAAATGAATTATGTTTGCAACTTACTTTGAAATGAGTCAAAAAGTAAGATGAGCCAGTGAACCGACAGACACATGGACAGATGGACAGACTCGTGATAAAGCAAACATAGCAAAATGTTCACTGTAGAACACAGGAGGCGGGTACATGCGTGTTCACTGTACAATTTTTTCAAATTTTTTGTATGCTGGGAAATTTTCATATTAAAAGACTGAGGATAAAGAGTCTTCAGAGACACATTCACCCTGGTACCTTTGGTTTTCTTCTGGCCTATACTGAGCTTTAGGAGATGACAGTCATATATCACGCTGACCTTTTGAAAAGAAAATGGGCCATGGGACAAAAGTGTAAATTAGCATAAACTTATATCTCACAGGGATTTCCCAGCTGGCCCAGTGGTAAAGAACCCGCCTGCCAATGTAGGAGACACAAGAGACCAAGAGACGAGGGTTTGATCCCTGGGTTGGGAAGATCCCCTGCAGTAGGAAGTGGCAACCCGCTCCAGTATTCTTACCTGGAATTTTCCATGGACAGAGAAGCCTGGCGGGCTACAGTCCATACAGTCGCAAAGAGTCAGACAGGACTGACCATGCACACACGCACACACATCACATCTTACAAAACTTGGGGTGAGGCCTGAATAGAAGCATGAGAAGTCAAAATCCTTTTTCTGAGACACTGAGGGGCATCGGTACATATGTGCATGAACTGTCTTTATCCTCCTGATACAAGCAGCAGACAAGGACACAGAAATGAGTGTGGATGGACAGGGTCACTGAAACTGACAATTACATAAAAACCATGACACTTCCACAGGAGGTTGTTTTTTGTTTTGCTTGGTTGGGTTTTTTCTTTTTCTTTTTTTTAAGACTGAATGGTTCAAGAAGAAACAAGGATACAGAAGACTGCTTCAATGATCTTGAACCACGTGACCCTGTATGAGGAATCATCTCCAACCACCGTCAAGTTCATGCCTGCAAATGACTGACCAACATTTGAAGGGTGATTCACAATGAATTTTGAAAAAAATATAATAAGCCACACCATGAACAGGCCCAGTCAGTCATTACTCAGACAAAAAAAAGGAGATCCAGGGCACCTCCTAGCATGAAGACATGACACCAGTGATTTATATACCCTTTAAGGCTGAAAATTCGAGAAAGTAAAGGATGGAAAGTTCCTGAAAGTAAACGAAACGGAGTTCCTCTGTCTCACCTCTGCCCTAAGTCAGAGGGCACCTTTAAAACTCTATACTGCTCCTCTAACTCCTGGTGTATTGTGAAAACAAGGGAAACTCACTTTAGACCAGGTAAATTTTACCCAAAGTTAAGATAAAAAACTCTGGTTCACTCAAGCACAACCTGACTAAGGGCCTCCTGCTTTTAGATCAGAAGATAACGGCCTCCAGGAATTCAATGGGCTGGCTTGCTGAGCAACAAGCAACACTGTCACATTAGATCCTATTTAAGATACAGATAAGAGCGATAAGAAGAGTTTGAACTGGAGACCTAAAGCTTTGCCTGCCTTGCGTTTCCAAGCTTATCTTTTAACCCTTCTGGTGATGGCAGCATAAGGGGAGGTTTTTTAAGCAGAGCTGAGGGCGTCAAGGTCATCAGTCTCTCCCGTGGCACCACGGGCTCTGTCCTCCCAAAAACCCAGAGGAGCTGTTACCTGTGAAGCCCACTGGATTTGAGCATGCCAAGCACCGAGCAAGGCGTCGTAGAGCCCAGTGAGCTGCCGGTCCAGGGGCAAGTCGCTTTGGCACAGCTCCTGCCAGGCTGCTAACAGCTGCACCTGTGGAGGCAGAACAAAGGAGGCCTTGGTGGGTCCACCGAGATACACTGCCTGCTGCCCTCCTACCCTCCCACCTCGGCAAGAGATCCACCACTACCCACTCTCCCGGGCAAGCAGGTACCCACGGATGACCACGGGCTTCAAAAAAGGCAGAAAAGGGACTTCCCCGGTGGTCCAGTGGTTAGGAATCCACCTACCAATGCAGGGGATGTGGGCTGAGTCCTTGGTTGGGGAACGAAGATCCCAAGTGCCACAGGGACAACTAGGCCCACGGGTCATAATGAAGACCCCACATGCTGCAACCAAGATCCAATGCAGCCAAATAAATATATAAATAAATAATTTTTTCAGAAGGCAGAAAAAACATTTACAGTCCACCCGCTCTGTTGTCATCTAGGGCTTTAATCTGTCACCCTCTAAGTGATTCTTTCTCCTTTTATCTTTTGCCCAAAGCATGCCAATGTACTCAGCATGCCCCCATTCTTCTGAATAGACCTCAGGGATGGCTGTGAAGATGTATTCTAGCTTCATGTCCTAACCCCACTGCTTAAAAGACATGTGAGCGTTGGATTTGCAGGAATTAAGTTAACCCTGGAAGCTGTCAAGATTTTCAGCAAACTAATCTCAACAAACCTAGACAACAGATAAAATTCTCAAGGTTTACTGAAAGCATAATAAACCTTATGATGAGAATCTCCCTTAAAAGACAAAAATGTGGTGGTTTAGTCGTTAAGTCGCGTCCAACTCTTGCAACCCCATGGACTGTATAGCCTGCCAGGCTCCTCTGTCCACGGGATTCTCCAGGCAAGAATACTGGAATGGGTTGCCATTTCCTTCTCCAGGGCCTCTTTCCCACCCAGGAATCAAACCTGGGTCTCCTGCATTGCAGGCCGATTCTTTACTGATTGAGCTTTGAGGGAATCCCAAAACACAAAAATGGGAAAAACTAAAAATTCTTCCATCGTAAAGAAAATCCAGCTACAAAAACAAAGGCTGAAAACCAATGACTCTTTTTCCCAACTTACAATTAAATGAATCCAGAGGCTGGACCAAGGGCACCCCCTACTGGCTAATTAAAAGAAAAAGGCCAGAGAGCATGTAGGCAAACATTTTTACCTTTAAGTAAGAAACTGAGATTTGAAACTGGGACTGTGGCCCAGTTCTATAAACATTCCACAGTGGCAATCACTCACAGCTTCTCACCTTGTGGTACTTGTAGTAGTATGCAAGAAGTTGGGGCATCCGGTCAATTTCACTAAAAACCTTCACAAACATTCTGGACTGATCTAAAGAAAAACAACAGAAAATGGAAAATGTGTACATACTGTTACTAAGTTTTCTGTTGCACCCAAGAGCAAGAATTCAATAGGAAAAATGTGGATTAATTGTGAACTACTATTCAGAAGCTTCTACCTAGACAATGAATTAACTCATGTGTTGAGATCATAAACATGAAAAACAAGTGAAGTTAAGGGTAGAACATGTGACTCAGTGAGATACCACAAGCCCTGGTTTGTTGAGAATACTGCATCAGTAAGCATCATTGAACTTCTCTGGTGGTCAGGTGGTCAAGAATCCACCTGCCAATGCAGGGGACATGGGTTCCACGCCTGGTCTGGGAGGATTCCACATGCCACGAACAACTAAGCCTGTGTACCCTAGAGTCCATGCTCTGCAACAAGAGAAGTCACTGCAATGAGAAGCCCACACGCCACAACTAGAGAATAGCCCCCACTTGCTCCAACTAGAGAAAGCCCAGGCACAGCAATGAAGATCCAGTGCAGTCAAAAATAGAGAAATAAAAATTAAAAAAAAAAAACCTTGCTCATTTAAAGAAAAAAAAAAAGGCAGCATTGATAGAGCTCAGGTTATGCAACAGCGAAGTAAACCTCACATGTGAATGGAAAAATGAATTAGAATCGGGGCTGGGACTGGGGACGGGGGCTGGGCTCTCTGCAGGTCGTACAAGGGCAGGATGAGCACGTCCTTCAACTTGGTGTCTCTGGCATCTCACCTGACTCACCTCGCCCTGGCCCTGACTAAAATCAAAAAATGTCAGGGGCAGAAAGGTGTCTAAAGTAACCATCAATCAACCACATCATCGGGGTGAGGAGACTGCAGCCCAGAGAACTTCAGCTGCCTGCAGGTCAACAGCAGGACCGCTGATGGAGGGACAGGCTGAACCCTACGCTGCTGCTGCTACTCAACCACTTCCGACCTACAAAAACAGGCATTTCATGGGACCCAAGCTAGTATTCACAGGACCTAAAAACTACTGGCACAAGCAGACTTTCTGTCAGGTGCTAAGAAGAAATCAAGCTCTTGGCTGCCCCAGGGCCTTTGTACTTACTGTGCCTGGGATGCTCTGCTGGATCTCCCTCTGTGGGGAGGGAACAACAGAAAATCCGTCCACACTGTTACCAGGTTTTCTGCTGCAGCCAAGAGCAAGAATTCAGCAGGATAAATGTGGATTAATTAACTGTGAGCTCGTATTCAGAAGTGCCTACCCAGACAATGAATTAACTCATGTGTGGAGATCATACACATGAAAAACAAGTAAAGTTAAGGGAAGAACATGTGACTCAATCAGATACCACAAGCCCCAGCTTGCTGAGAACACTGCATCAGTAAGCAAATGACAGTATGCATGCGTGCACGTGTGCTACATTGCCTCAGTCGTGTCTGACTCTTGTGACCCTGCGGACTGTAGCCCACCAGGCTCCCCTGTCCATGGAATCCTCCACACAAGAATACCGGAGAGGGTTGCCACGCCGTCCTCCAGGGGATCTTTCCAACCCAGGGATCAAACCCACGTCCCTAGCATCCCCTGCATTGGCAGGTGGGTTCTTTACCACTAGAGCCACCCAGGAAGCCGCAACTGACTGTAAGTATGAAGGAAAAACTGCCCGCAATCCTATCACTCCTGTTAAACACTGTCACCATTTTAGCAGACTGTCAAAAAATGTTTTTAGAAAGAAAGTGCTACAGTGAGCACTGGTCTAAATATATAATTCAATGTTAAGAAAGTTCTACCCAACAGAGTAGAATTTGTTATTTCTTGAAACAAATAATAAAGCAGAATTAGCCAACAGCAAATCCATTTAGCAAAAGCACTGTAAAACCTTAAAAGTAACAATAGTGGGTCTTTTGCCCTTATAAAGGGGAAGCCCATGGCTCAGATGGTAAGGAGTTTGTCTGCAATGAGGGAAACCTGGGTTCAATCCCTGAGTTGGGAAGATCCCCTGGAGAAGGAAATGGCAACCCATTCCAGTATTCTTTCCTGGGAAATCCCATGGATGGAGAAGCCTGGCAGGTTACAAGTCCACAAGGTGGCAAAGAGTTGGACATGAACGAGTGACTTCATGACTTCACTTTCTTTCTTTACCCTTATAGAGGAATCTGAGTTTTCAAGATCAATACATTAAATAGACAAATTTGTAAAACTGAGTTTAACAAGTTCCTGATTTGGACAAAAGAAAGTCTATTTTGGCAACCAGAGGACTTCTAGGCTCTTAGCACATAACCAATTCAATTCAAAAAGACCAGTGAGCACCTGCTGGGGCAGGGCCCCCTGCCAGGCCTCTTTGTGGACCTGACATTCTGGCCACCCGACATTTACTGTCCTTCTTCTAAAAGAACTATGGTCTTCATAGCAGCTATACTAGTTTGCATTCTCACCAACAGTGTAAGAGAGTTCCCTTTTTTCCACACCCTCTCCAACATTTATTGTTTGAAGACTTTTTGATAGCAGCCATTCTGACTGGTGTGAGATGGTACCTCACTGTGGTTTTGATTTACATTTCTCTGGTAATGAGTGATGTTGAGCATCTTTTCATGTATTTGTTAGCCATCTGTATGTCTTCTTTGGAGAAATGTCTGTTTAGTTCTTTGGCCCATTTTTTGACTGGGTCATTTATTATTCTGGTATTGAGCTACATGAGCTGCTTGTATACTTTTGAGATGAGTTCTTTTGTCAGTTGCTTCATTTGCTATTATTTTCTCCCATTTTTAAGGCTGTCTTTTCAGCTTGCTTGTAGTTTCCTTCATTGTGCAAAAGCTTTTAATTATATCCCATTTGTTTATTTTTGCTTTTATTTCCATTACTCTGGGAGGTGGGTCATAGAGGATCCTGCTGTGATTTATGTCAGAGAGTGTTTTACCTATGTTTTCTTCTAGGAGTTTATAGTTTCAGGTGTTACATTTAGATCTTCGATCCATTTCGAGCTTATTTTTGGGTACAGTGTTAGAAAGTGTTCTAGTTTCATTCTTTTACAAGTGGTTGACCAGTTTTCCCAGTACCACTTGTTAAAGAGATTGTCTTTTCTCCATTGTATATTCTTGCCTCCTTTGTCAAAGATAAGGTGTCCATAGGTGCATGGATTTATCTCTGGGCTTTCTATTTTGTTCCATTGATCTATATTTCTGTCTTTGTGCCAGTACCATACTGTCTTGATGACTGTGGCTTTGAAGTAGAGCCTGAAGTCAGGCAGGTTGATTCCTCCAGTTCCACTCTTCTTGCTCAAGATTGCTTTGGCTATTTGAGGTTTTTTGTATTTCCACACAAACTGTGAAATTACTTGTTCTAGTTCTGTGAAAAATACCATTGGTAGCTAGATAGGGATTGCATTGAATCTATAGATTCAATGGGTAATATACTCATTTTCACTATATTGATCCTTCCAATCCATGAACATGGTATATTTCTCCATCTATTTGTGTCATCTTTGATTTCTTTCATCGGTGTCCTATAGTTTTCTATATATAAGTCTTCTGTTTCTTTAGGTAGATTTATTCCTAAGTATTTTATTCTTTTTGTTGCAATGGTAAATGGAACTGTTTCCTTAATTTCCCTTTCTGTTTTCTCATTGTTAGTGTATAGGAATGCAAGGGATTTCTGTGTACTGATTTTATAACCTGCAACTTTACTATATTCATTGATTAGCTCTAGTAATTTTCTGGTGGTGTCTTTAGGATTTTCTATGTAGAGGATCATGTCATCTGCAAACAGTGAGAGCTTTACTTCCTCTTTTCCAATCTGGATTCCTTTTATTTCTTTTTCTTCTCTGATTGTTGTGGCTAAAACTTTCAAAACTATGTTGAATAGTAGTGGTGAGAGTGGGTACCCTTGTCTTGTTCCTGACTTTAGAGGAAATGCTTTCAATTTTTCATCACTGAGGATAATGTTTGCTGTGGGTTTATCATATATGGCTTTTATTATGTTGAGGTATGTTCCCTCTATGCCTGAAGGGTTTTTTTAAATCATAAACGGATGTTTAATTTTGTCAAAGGCTTCCTCTGCATCTATTGAGATAATCATATGGCTTTTATCTTTCAATTTTTTAATGTGTTGTATCACACTGATTGATTTGCAAATACTGAAGAATCAAAGAATCCTTGCATCCCTTGGATAAAGCCCACTTGCTCATGATGTATGATCTTTTTAATATATTGTTGGATTCTGTTTGCTAGAATTTCATTGAGGATTTTATAATCTATGTTCATCAGTGATACTGGCATGTAGTTATCTTTTTTTGTGGCATCTTTGTCTCGTTTTTGAATTAGGGTGATGGTGGCCTCACAGAATGAGTTTGGCAATTTACCTTCCTCTGCAGTTTTCTGGAAGAGTTTGAGTAAGATAGGTGTTAGTTCTCTAAATTTTTGGTAGAATTCACCTGTGAAGCTACCTGGTCCTGGGCTTTTGTTTGTTGGAAGATTTTTTATTACAATTTTGATTTCCGTGCTTGTGATGGGTCTATTATGATTTTTCTATTTCTTCCTGGTTCAGTTTTGGAAGGTTATGCTTTTCTAAGAATTCATCCATTTCTTCCAAGTTGTTCATTTTATTGTCATATAGTTGGTGATGGTAGTCTCTATGATTGTTTGTATTTCTGTGTTGTCTGTTGTGGTTTCTCCATCTTCATTTCTAATTTTGTTGATTTGATTCTTCTCCCTTTTTTTCTTGATGAGTCTGGCTAATGGTTTGTCTATTTCTTCTCTAAGAACCAGCTTTTAGTTTTATTGATTTTTGCTACAGTCTCCTTTGTTTCTTTTTCATTTATTTCTGCCCTAATTTTTATGATTTCTTTCCTTCTATTAACCCTAGGGTTCTTCATTTCTTCTTTTTCTAGTTGCTTTAGGTGTAAAGTTAGGTTATTTATTTGATTTTTCTCTTGTTTCTTGAGGTAAGCTTGTATTGCTATGAGCCTTCCCTTTAGCACTACTTTTACTGAATCCCATAGGTTTTGAGTTGTTGTGTTTTCATTTGTTTCTATGCATATTTTGACAG